AATTATACTCCAACTCTATATTATTGGCGCAACTCTATAATAGAGTCTATTACCAATGTACTCACAGTTTTTTGTCATGTGCGGTCACATATAATGATATATGGTGAAGTTCAAAATATTTGACCTCATTCAATAAAAAATGTAATGATTAATTCTGCTTCGCTCATAATATTTGTTTTTAAATCATCAGTTGAATTTGTCTGCAAAAAATAATACACATACACTATTATATGACTATAATTTAATAATAATAATAATAAAAATGTTAAAATATTTATTTGTTAGTTACTGAAATTCCTCGCAGATTCTTGAAATTCAAAAGCACTGAAATACACAAAAACACTTGCGTGCAAAGTAGCATCCATAAATAAATGAAATTTTATATTTCCATTGTTAAATAGTATACACAAAATTTACAGACGAGATGACCTCTGACAAATGACTAGTAAGTCAGGTCTTCAAAGGAATCTGTCAATCTCTAAGGTTTACACATGTAGTCCCTGCTGAATCATCAAAGAAGTGACTTCACCATTTTTTGATATATCAAGAAAAAAAAATCTTCTTTTCTTGTTTAATTGTTTATTACACATATTTAATCAATATTGCTTAAAAGTAAAAAAAAATGTTGTTTGATAATAGTGTCAATTGTTAACATTTTATTAATCACAAGTGCATTTTGATTGTGATAAATTTATTTCACATGTTTTACGCAAATGGAACTTCAAAACAACAGATTTTTATACATATACAGATGATGTTATGGCTGTTACTAAAGCAATAGATGATTATAAGTGTTATAGATGATTATTAGTGTTATTAATTTTTTTCTATATTTGAAATTTCTGTATATGAAATGTATATGTGATATTTATCACAGCAGGGTCTTTCAAATAGAATAATCTGGAAACGCGCTATGTAAACCCGTCTCACTACAATTAAACATGTCTCTGCAGAACTCGGTATATTTGCTATACGTTAATCAAGTATCCAAGAAAAGGGCGAAAATTAAATACAAGAGCAAAAATGAAAATTCTAAGGACATGTTCTTTAATCTTGTGAAAAAAGGATAAATATTTCAGAACATAATGTTTTTAAAGCCAATTATCTGTTGAAAAACATAGATTGCTTGTTCAGAAAATTTGCGGATAAACAGCGTCATTTTGAAAATGCATCAAATTAGGCATTTAATATTTGTAAATGACATTGTATATTATATGTACATGTATATTACATTGGTTTATATGTACTTGTAATTTGCATGTATGTTGCATTATTTTATATGTGCACGTATGTTGCATTATTTTATATGTACATGTGTGTTGCAAGATTAACATAACATCATTTTTACGCCAAAGTATCATGTTACGCTATAATTATTACATCATTATTATTATTATCCTGATGAAGGTGTTGTTCACTGAAACGCATTGATAATGAAGTAATGATATTTTGAAAAACTGTACGTGTTGTTGTTGTTTAAACATCGTTTTAAATAACATTGTAAAATATTATAAAATGTTTACATATATATTAAATAACATTTTTTCTCTGTAAAATCAATTTCTGTTTTTCCATTGAACAATGCATTAATTAATTAAAAAAAGCTTATAAAACTCAGACCTATTTTCAAATATGAGCAGTAAATTTTTACCTTGACACCAGGAATGAACAATTCCTAATTTCATTACAAATCTATAAAATTGTTACTTTTTAAAGTAAAAACTTATAATTTAATGTAGCCATGGTGAGGTTTAAGTAGTTTTTTTAACGATTTAACAAAACATCTTCCAATTTGATTTTAAATGGTGATGTACTATGCCAGATCACGGTCTGTATTAACCTATATATATAATCACGTGCTTCAGCTGAGACATCTTTTTTCATAAAATTGGTCGGACATCAGACCATTCTATTTGAAGGGAAACTCTGTGATTTTCCAACGGTGATTGTTTTTACCTTCGTAGTGATTTGCCATAATATGTCCCCGCGATTTTCCACTTGCCATTAAAAGTGTCCACAGTGACAAAGCAGAAAGTGCAAAAATCACTTGAGCTGTACTGTAGGGTATGCCTAAAATACAAAAGAGAGTCTTTTTTGAAAGTTTTTGACAAAAGTGAGCGAAAGTGACTTAAAAAATATGAATTATCGTGTTTAAATAGAATTTTACAATAAAATTCATTTAATACCTATATTATCAGAAATTAATAATATTTATTTGCAAATTGATTATCCATGTATACAGTTACTGTCAGTTAAAGTAGGTCATTAGTTGGAATAGCAACCACTTCAACAGTGATGTTCTTTTTTTATATTACAGTGTCAGTGATTTTCCTCCTTAATATATAAATTATAACACAAGCCTATAAAAGGCCTCTTCACAAATTGAAATTTTTTTAAATTTAAATTTTGAACTAACACAATCGTTTTTACTTCCTAGATAAGCAATTTCAGTGATAATTCTACAGAAAATCAAGAGGTTTAAGGCCTCTTCCAAAAAAAACCAACAAACTGAGTGTTTTATCACAATTTAAATTTTATCAATCAAATTTTTTACTAAATTGTCATTATATTCATGATGACATTGACATGAGCCCCAAGACACCCACAGACTAAAATAGATTCTGTATAAACTGAATAGAAATAATGAAATTTATAAGTTAATGATATTTGAACACAAGCACATTGATTTGACACAAAGGAAACCTCATCAAGTAATTCTTTCAAGCTGGGTAAAAAGAAAAAGTGAGGCATTCTTTGTAAAATTGTTCTCTTGGAAACCTTGGAAGACTCAGACAAAAAAGAATCTTTCAGTCAGGTTGTTTCATAATACAATATACTGTCTTAAAAAACAGAGTATGCTTTGATATAAATTATCAACATTTAAACACTGCAGACAGAGGCTGCAGACATTTGTGCTTATAAGTTTGTCTGGACACTCATCGTCACAGTATATAATGTAGTATGTACGGAATATATACCTTGGGTAACTCAGACGATGCTGGACACTAAAATAAGAATGAAGGTCAATAGTGAACCCGTTTTATTAACAAAATATAGCTATTTCGGTTTTTATGACATTTATGAAATGCAGCTATAAGCGTATGGAAGATAAAACATTTTTGTAAATATGATTTGAATTGATGACCTGTTGTGTTTATTCAATCACAAGTCTGACATTGAAATTAGATATTGATGGCTTTATTATAATACATGTGCGGCCGTCTGAAAATAATTGATCTGACCTATTAAACACATTGATTTATACTTAAAACAAATAGCTGATATTAAAATTGTTCTGAATAGTTGATTTAAGACTTTAAAGCAAATAAAATACAAATTGAGAATTTCTAGAACAGTATTAAGTTTACTAATATCAAAACTGGATTTAACTGGTTCTAATAGGGATTTTTATTATCAATTCATGGCTTAAAGCAGTGAACAAATTAAGCATCAGTAGAAAAGCAAAGTTAATTTTCTGGAACTTTGTGTTAACTCCTAACATTTTCAACTCTTTTTTTTTTACATTCTGTAATCATATTTGAAATTTTGTAATTGGCTAAAATTACCAGTATTGCAAATGTTCATCTTCAACTTTATTGTAAATTGCAATTAAAACAAATATAATGTGAATTGTTAAAAGACCTTGACCTTCATAATATGCTCATTTTTTGTAACATCAAGTTGGGCTGAATAGATTTAATTTTTATATCAAAATATTAACTGTTATTATTGTGGTGATTGACCAACAGTTGTAACATTGGAAAATTTTTAAGATGAATTATTACTCTGCCTAAAATATTGATTGACTGCCCTCCACCTCTTTTTATAAATTGAACGTTAGGCCTACAGGTTAATTCAAATGCATTATACAGACATTTCCTTAGGACATGTGAGTTATTTATCATTCATGCAAAGAAAATTATAAATTTTGTAAGGAATAATGTCAAAATGTGAATCTTATTATTTTGACTTTCACCTGTTCACTCATTATACATTGTACATTTGTATACCCTTGGATGGGCATAATGTCACTTTAATTATGAAATGAGTGTGGCAATAGCAGGTTCACTTATTGATATAATGTCTAAGCATATTTCTGATTGTAAAATAAATTATGAATTTTAATCTAATAAATCTCTGATATTTTTTTAGAATCTAATATTAACTCAGTATGTATAGGTTAATTCCCACTTTCCATACTGAATTATGTCCAATGTCAAAATAAGGTAAATAATTAAGCAGGGTTAATGTTTGTTAAGCATAATGAACTTCAAAATTGACTTACTATTACAATGTACTTCAGTATTATTAATACTGTATACACATAGCAAATATATTATCAGTTATTTAATAATGAAATTTAGTGTCTTCATACCTTGTGCTTACTGTGAAGTTCAGCAGCTTTTTTGGTTCTTCGAAAATATTTAGAAATAAAACGCATTTGAAAATAAAATTTTGATATACAGTAAGTAATAGACACGAGGCTATCTGATTTGTACGAGGGGGCGTAGCCCCCGTGTATTAATCAGATTGCCAAGTGTGTTGATGTTCTTTCTCTTTTGCATCATAGTCAAACATAAAAACACGTTCCTTGTTGTCACAATATGAAGCCCCAGAAAAAAGTTACCAATGAACAAGCATCTGAATATGAAATTTCTATCGCTTTCCATTAATAAGTAAACCCCAGCAATAATGAGCCAATCAATGGGCATGCTCTGGAGTGCAGGTAACTAATACCTGCACTCCAGTTAAAGCACTGTGCATGTATATGTATACGATTTAACTCTGACACATTTTCAACAGAAAGGTCCCCAAACTATGATACAATCATGTATAGTCACATTTCTTGCTTTATTTTAAATTACAATGTACTTTGATGCATATCTATACCTTGATACTGATAGAAATTTCTTTTGTAGACAAAAAAAAGATTTATTCAGAGTCTTACAATGTAAATCTTTAATAGGAAAGTTAAAATTTGAATGACCTTTTAATTTCAGGAGCAAAAGGAAAAGGGGTCAAATGGACGAAGAGGGCTGAATTCCATTGCCAACTTCTTTAATAATCTTACACCTAATAACTCAAGTAAATCCAAAAAGAAAGGATTCAACAATGTGGTCTCTACTCACAGTTCAGAGAGTAGCAGCTCCTCTGATATGTCGAATACAGAGTTACCTCCCATTAACAGTAAATCCAGGCTAACTGTGCCAAACACTGCTTCAAGAAGCACTACTCCATCTTATGCAGTTGACTCGCGGGCATCAAGTAGAAATACTATGGTTTCAACAAGTTCAAAAGCATCAAAGACGTCAAAAGGGCCGTCTGTATCGAGACAGGACATTCATTTAAATATCGCTAGTAGGAGTTCGGCAAATGCTGGTGCAGGCGTCAGCAATTCATCGCCGAACCAGGCAGAAAGAGTTATCTATCCTGTCCGAACTAAAACATCAGATCAGTTAAGGTAGGTTTGTGTGAACATGTATTGCTGAGAATTTATGTCATGTACAGGCATTCATGCTTATACATATTTTCGTTCTGTAATAGAGCTTGAATGTTGTGCATTTTAGGGAAGATGTACTGTAAAAGAGATGATATTTTATGTTATTAAGGGAAGATGTTTAATAGAGAAGATATTTTGTGTTATTTAGGGAAGATGTACTGTAAAAAGAGATAATATTTTATGTTATTTAGGAAAGATGTACAAATGTACGGTAATAGAGATTATATTTTATGTTATTTAGGGAAGATGTACGGTCAGCTAGAGAGACAGGTAACTGGAAGAGTGTTCAGGAGTTCTACTCCACAACTTTTGATTCATTTCTAGAGATCAACGCTGCATTTAAGGTGAGTCTGTCAAACTGTATTCATTTCTTATTTGACATTATTCATTAAAGTAAAATGGTTTTAAGCTAGAATGATGGAAGTGATACCAGGTATTGATAATGATGTAAAATGGAACCTTTACAAACATAAAAAATCTGACTACAACCTTTATTTTTATGTTTAACATTTATTTACCTATTTTGATAGATATAAAGGTTTTTTTTTATTGAAGCAGAACTTTTGAAATATTTGATAAAATTTTGGAAAGAGTAAGTTTAATTAATATTGTTATGCACATTGCTGAACATTATGTTGTTTTTCATAAAGGGCTTTTAAAATTTTGGTGTATACATGTACTCCTTGAAGGATTTTTACCCTGTTAAATAAGGATCCAATGTGGTCACAAATGTAAAGTTGATATTTTTCAGTCAGCTGGAAACTTTGAGCCTAATGCTGCAAATATTTTTGTGACATTAGATAATAATTTACATGCAGACCATTATAAATTCTATTGATGATAGAGTTTACAAGAAAATTGTTCGCCCGGTCTCACATACTAATTAACTAAAACATTTTCAAAGTTCAAAGAAAACCTTTAAATGCAGGTTTCCAGGGACAACAAAGGAAATATTGCATTTAAACAGAAATTGTATGCCGCAGATATGAAAGCAATCAATGAAAATTTAAAAGGCTGTTGAATTTACATTATGATTTTGAATATCAAACTGATGTCAGTGTTATGGTCTGCTATTATCTATAGCGAAATTGATTTCCCCGCCAGTAGCTCTTTTCAGCTTAAAGGAAGCGCCAGTCAATACTTATTGATCTACACAGGGGTCATGTCAGTAATATCCTTACCTAACAGAGTTAATTATTATTGATATTGACCTTACTGTTTTCTCCGTCTAATCATCGTAAAGATTTGAGGAACCGATATAGGCAATAAATAGATGTCTGTGATGGCAACAATGTAAATCAAAGTAATTGATCCAGAAATCTTAGTGTGAATTGAACTACAATATATATCAAAGATTTTATCATGACCCGTTACAATCAGGAAAATGCCCTTCAACATTTTACGAGCTTATGCGGGACTATAAGTAAATTGTCTTCTACATTTATTTTTGACTGATACGTACCTTCCTTATAATTTTAAGAACTGTTAAGGCTTCTTTCAGACATAATTAAACTCCTGTATGATGTTTAAAATATAACTATCCCTGTTAGAATATTTATAGTTAATTGAAAATAGTTATAAGCTTTTAATTTTGCTAGGGACTGATGTTTAATCGTTAGATCCTTACTTTGACTTTTTATTTGAGTAACAATAAATTTAACCACAAAAATATTGACATGTGTTTTATTGTTAAGAAATATGTTGTGGTGAAATTCTTATTGTATTCACTAATCTGATAATTAGACAGGTCAGGGATCTATGCATGTATTGAATCCCTAAATGGTATGAAATAAAACAATCATATTTATTTGACGGGCACATTTTTAGCTCGACTATTCGATAAGAATAAGTAGAGCTATTGCAGTCACCCGAGCGTCGGCGTAACCACTTATGTTAAAGTTTTTGTAATAGTTCAAATATTTTCAAAGTCCATTGACATATGGCTTTGAAACTTTGCACACTTGTTCAACATCATGACCCCAACCTGTAAACAGGAGGAGGTAACTCTATCAAGCATTTTGACAGAATTATGCCCCTTTTTCGACTTAGAATTTACGTTAAAGTTTTTGTAATAGTTCAAATATTTTCAAAGTCCATTGACATATGGCTTTGAAACTTTGCACACTTGTTCAACATCATGACCCCAACCTGTAAACAGGAGGAGGTAACTCTATCAAGCATTTTGACAGAATTATGCCCCTTTTTATGCCCCCACAATGTGGGAGCATATAGCGTTGCACTTGTCCGTCCGTCCGTCAGTCCGTACGTCCCGAAATTTTGTGAACGCAACTCCTCTTAAACCAGATGGCAGATTTTGCTTAAACTTACAGGGATGAACAACCTTAATGTGTAGATGGTAGTAAAGGAAGGAATTTTTGCTGCAACCAAATTTAACAGAATTATGGCCCTTTGTTGATTTTTTCACTATGTACTATGTAGAAATTTTGTGAACGCAACTCCTCTTAAACCGGATGGCAGATTTTGCTTAAACTTACAGGGATGAACAACCCTAATGTGTAGATGGTAGTAAAGGAAGGAATTTTTGCTGCGACCAAATTTAACAGAATTATGGCCCTTTGTTGATTTTTTCACTATATACTATGTAGAAATTTTGTGAACGCAACTCCTCTTAAACCGGATGGCAGATTTTGCTTAAACTTCCAGGAATGAACAACCTTAATGTGTAGATGGCAGTAAAGGAAGGAATTTTTGCTGAGACCAAATTTAACAGAATTATGGCCCTTTGTTGATTTTTTCACTATATACTATGTAGAAATTTTGTGAATGCAACTCCTCTTAAACCGGATGGCAGATTTTGCTTAAACTTACAGGGATGAACAACCTTAATGTGTAGATGGTAGTAAAGGAAGGAATTTTTGCTGCGACCAAATTTAACAGAATTATGGCCCTTTGTTGATTTTTAGTTTTCAACTTGTGGCACATGTAGTCCAAAAAATATTTGACCTAGAGTCATAAGATTGACAGAACAGTGGCATGTGGGGGCATCAGTGTCCTATGGACACATTTCTAGTTCGACTTAGAATTTATGTTAAAGTTTTTGTAATAGTTCAAATATTTTCAAAGTCCATTGACATATGGCTTTGAAACTTTGCACACTTGTTCACCATCATGACCCCAACCTGTAAACAGGAGGAGGTAACTGTATCAAGCATTTTTTTACTATCAAGCACTAAGAATAGTCGAGCGTTGCTGTCCTACTGACAGCTCTTGTTTCTTTTATTAAGTTTTTAATTGAATTAATAACAAACCTGGCTAGTGCAGTTAGTTGGTACACCTGTTATTGACTTCAGGTATTCTACAAAAATTATATCTGCTGTTTTTTTTTTTTGAGAGAGAAAAATCATGACATTAAAATATCTGTAACTTTCCGCAATGTAACATATAACCCTCGTTTTAAAGTGTTGCATTTTTTATCAGTTCAGACTAACTAACTGCCTTTCTGCATCAGTAATATTATGAATATAAAATGCAGTACTAACATGCATAACATAAAGTTAGTGATTATCAGTGAATGGCATAATTCCACCCTCGGTAAAACAGACAAATCAATGTTTGATTAGATATAACATGTTCAAATTATCACATAATTTTCTGACAGCTGAACATGAATATTTCATTTCTAACATTGAACGCTTGTTTGATTCCATTTAGGCAAATATTGCTTGTAACTTAAGTCTAAAATGATGATTTATATATTACAAGCCAGACTTAATGTAAAACTTAGTTATAAACACATTCAGTAGATATGGCTCATTATATAGTATTTAAGAAATAACATCGGCCTGAGAGGTGTATATCAGCTATTTAACACCAGTTTGGAGTTTTGATGCGTAGGAATTGACCACGAAGGCCGTAGGCCTGAGTGGTTAATTTTTTCGCATCAAAAGGACAAAACCGGTGTTAAATAGCCGATATACACCTCTCAGGCCGATGTTATTTCGATTCTACCACGATAAAATAAGGAAGATCACTAATGTTATTTTTTCAAGCGGAAATAACTTCCGGTGCCGATTTTCGTATAACGCTGTTCGATTTTCGCACCTTGCTGTTGTAAAGATATAGAAATTATTAAACAAAATAAATAATGAGAAAAAACGTTATTTTATCAAGTTTTTCAACAATAAAAACTTACGTCGTATTGTGTTTACATCAGTGCCCCATTTATCATTCTTGTATGTATGAAATAACGTCATTTTGTTTATGAATGAGTTGTTTACTTACGATGACGTCATTAAGCTGCGTTTTGTCAAAATATTTATTAACTGATATGGATCAAATATGTGGCGTTAGTGTATGTGAGATACTATATCGGTATTGTATGAAAAGAAAACGTTATAAGAACTGAAAATATAAATAAAAATGCTTTTTATTGTTGCTATAAAAGGCTTTGTAAACTATATAATCGAGGGTGAAAACACATATACAAGTAGTCCCTAACCAGTGTTTATTGGCAGTTTAACACCGGTTTTTTTCCTTCTTTGTCTATAGTGACAAAATCACGTGGAGTGATAGAATTTATAATATAAATGTAAATAAATGTTTCTAATTCTTATCAGCTTCAACACATTGTATACGATGCTGCATATATGGTGAAGAACCAATTTAGTACATTCACATAACTATTTATTTTTACATTGTAGATGGTTACCTACGTGTGTGCATAGTTTTGTTCTTTATAACACATTTCTTGATTCAAATGTCATTGCTTCAAAAAATTAGTTACGCTGCTATGATGTCTTTATACTAAAATTACTTTCTATTGCACAGTGTTTGTTGTCATGTTATTTTAATTACATCCATTTGAACATAGCCAAACGTGCTTTGAACATTTAAAAAAGAAGATAAATACTAACCAAACAGCAGTTAAAAGGTGTGCTCCAGTATATTTAAGGATCAAACCCAAGACCCCATATTGAGAGGCTGGCATTAGGCCACTTTCGTTGCTTTCGAAAATTAAATAAAAGTTCTTTATATATTCATACAATGAAGTCAATAATGTCCATTTAATGATCAATACACGAGGACTTTATTGTTTAGAGACTAAAAAGATCTTGCTCTGTTTATATGTAAACAAAATTTCTAAATAAAGATTCTGCTTTGCAGCCCATAGCACCCACATTTATTGCAGAAATGGGTCATGAAATATTCTAAATATATAACGCTTTTCTTATAGATAGTTCAATATCGCTGCGAGAATTCTATATTTATATGTTAACTACAAAGAAACCTTGTTTTTATGTGTCTTGAATTGGCACACAAACACTGCTTCATCAATAATTCAGCTTAAGAAATAGAAAGCCACTTCATTAAATAGAAGAAAGAGTACCTCATGTCACTTTTATATAGAAGGTAAACATTATTGCTTGGTGGTTTTCTTATTAAAGGGACTTGGCTGAGGTTTTTTGACATGGCAGTACAAAATATTGTTCTAAGATTTGCGTACCATTTGATGGTAGGTCTTGACCTATAATACATGGGTGCAAGTGTAAGACCATTCCCTCAACCCATTTTTCCAGTATGTTTATTTTTATTGTGCAAAATGACCTAAAAATGAAAAACTCAAATTGGGATAAGAATCACACTCAAAATTGATATTAAATGTAATACTGAGTATATTTCTTTCCTATCCTTAGCATATTTTTTCATTTTAAGTGCTACACTTGATCTGTGTAAAAATTTCAAATTATATGATTTTTGGCTCCTTCACCTTAACCATACAAAGCTCTATTTTCAAAGTGATAAAAAGGTAAATAACTGGGATAAATGGATGGCAGAGTTATATAATTTAGCAATATTATGTACTGTATTGATAAGTAATAACTATTGATTAGGTTAACCTTAACGTTTTCAAAGCGCTGAAAAGGGCAATAACTTGGAAAAAAGGGAACCCACAGTTATGTAACTTGCCCAGATCATGTACATTGTATTGATAAGTGTGTAAATTATGAAGCCATTGTCTGGTACATGTAGAAGGCCCCTTTAACAGACCTTTAATCTCATTTAAATGTTTCCTAGAATGTGCATCCTTCATTTACCTGAAATTAATTGGCAATTTGTTCAAGAACTGAGTATGGTATTGTCATATCATGCATGAAAAGTAATGTATTTTTTGCTAAGACACTAATTAATATGAGAAAATTTGTTGTTGATTTCAGAGAGATCCTAATAAAGAGTATAAAAGTACAGAAGATCCAGGATTGAAGTTTGAGTTTATCAATACAGTATATGACTTGATATTAGGATTGGTAAGTTGGTGACTTAAGACTTAAAATCCAAGGTCAAGACTTTTCCAAAATGTCTTTCTTCAGACTTGAAAGTAAGACAATTCCAAAGTATCTGTATACATGTATTAAGCTATAACCTGTCGGAACTAGAGGTATTAAGCATTCGCCATCAGTATAGAGCCAGGCCAGCCTGCACACTCTATTGTTGTTATTAGCTCTAGGTTTATTGGTAATCGAAAATCCCTTAAACTTTGAATGGACTGCATATATTCTCAGCAAATCTATTGAATAAATTCAGCAAGAGAAGGCCCAATAACCTGTTCTAAAAATCTAATCATAAGCCAAAACACTTTACAAATTTCTATTTTAAGTAAGGACCTTTTCCAAAGTTCTATTTCTGTTTTAACCTAAGTTATGTTTCTGTTTTAAGCAAGGACCTTTCCCAAATCTCTGTTTCTGTCTTGAGAAAGAATCTTATCCAAATTTCTATTTGTATCTTTATCAAATAAATAATCTATGATATATGTAAGTCAATGCCGAAACAAAAATATCTGTCTCAATCTTAGGACATGACCGTTCCAAAATATCTATGTGTAGCAGCTGCAAGTTTCGGCAATAATTATGAGTTTGTCATTTAGAATTCGAAATAAATCATCAGTATAAAAGCCTTACATGCTGCTTTTCTGGATAGCTTCAAAATTTAGCTTGCATGTTTTTGTTTGCCAGATACCAGTTTTTCAGTGTAAGTGCTGAAATCGAGAACTGCTGTACTTGTAAATTGACTGCAAATTTAACAAGCAATAAGAATCACTACAACCATTTTGTTGAAGAACAAATTGCTATGACCCATACTTTTAATGATCTGTAAAACAGTACAAATGCATTGTTTCAGAGTTATTCTGGGAACACCGTAATATGACATTGTGAAGTGAATCCATAGCAATAACGTTATGAATCCTCATTTTTTTACATTATAAGAGCTGGGTAAACAGACGTTATACAGATATAGAACATTTTGTTAAGGACTTGATCACATATCAACATTACCGGTTTAAACAATAGAATTGACAGATTTAGGTTTTGTTTGTTATATGATTACTGTTTACTTTTCTGAGCTAAATCAATTCAGATTGAAAATAAATGAAAGAAAAAAATAAGCCGAGTGACTACTATGGTCTAAAAGTTCTTGTCGTAATCTATAAAATAGCTTGTATCATAGTTTGGGGACATTTCTGTTGAAAATGTGACAGAGTTAAATCGTATACATATACATGCACAGTGCGGTAACTGGGGCCATCCTTAAAAAAATGTTTGTTTGCAGTAACGCGACCGACTCACAAAATTTGCCCCTACTCAAAATTTTTTTTCATGGTCTGGATAAAAAATCTTTTTTTTTGAATCAGAAAATTATGCCTTGTGCTTTGTTTTCGTTATTTTAAAGGTTAATAGAAGAAATAAAATGTAGGTCTTATTAAATTAGAATTCAGTTATCAATTTATTAATTGTTACCAGATTATCAAAGCATATATTGTCCAGCATTTTGAAATTCCATGTTTATTTGGGAGTACAGTTCAATAATAAAAAAAAAGAATCGACCTACCTACCCACCTTGAAAATTCTGGGTCGGGTTACTGCAAACAAACATTTTTTTAAGGATGGCCTGGAGTGCAGGTATAAATTACCTACACTCCAGAGCATGCCCATTGATTGGTTCATTTTGTCCGCGGTTTACATATTGTGACAACAGAGAAACGGATAGCGATGAAAATATCATATTCAGATGCTCATTCATTGGTTACTTTTTTGTGGGGTTTGTGGAATCAGGGAACGTGTTTTTATGTGTAACTATGATGCAAAAGAGAAAGAACATCAAAACACTGGGGCTTTGCCCCCTCGACTATGCCCCCTCGACAAATCAGAAAGCCTCGTGTTTCGATGCTTTTTCTGTTACATAACTTTGATTGGTAACAATTCAATGTCATTCTTTTATGACCATTAATGCTGCGACTGCTAGTATTTTTATTTTGTATTATACAAAGCATATATTTTCAACATTTTTTTTTATTTATGATTAATGAATAAATTATTTGAAAAGTTTTATTTCTGTATTGAAAGTCATGTGAAAAGTGTAACTATGTATGAAAGTAAAGAAATTTCCAGTTAATTATACCCCCGCACAACAAAGTTGTAAGGGGGGGTATACTGGAATCAGCTTGTATGTCTTGCCAGCCGGTTGGACGGCCAAAATAACAAGTTGAGTTAATATTACCAAGTTTATTTAAATCTTTAAAAATCTTGCAATTGTAAGCTTTGTAATAACTATAAAAGTTATAATATGTGAACTAGCTATAAACTTTTTTATAACTCAACCTCCTATATTAACCTGCAACCATCCACTTCCCATCCCCTCTCCCCATGACTCCAGCCCAGCCCATCTTCAGCATTCCACATTCCCATCAGAGGAAAATTAAATTTAAAAATATACAATGAAATTATTACAAGTGCAAAATTGAGGCAGAATATTAAAGTGTTGTGAACCTTGAGTTGTAAATTATCGCAGCTGATGTTGCGTTGAAATTACTAATGTTTGAACAGCTTTTTTAGCTCACCTGTCACAAAGTGACAGGGTGAGCTTTTGTGATCGCTTTTCGTCCGGCGTCTGTCGGCCGTCGTCCGTCCGTCGTCCGTAAACTTTTACTTTAAATGACATCTCCTCATAAACCACAAGGCCAATTTCATCCAAACTTCACAGGAATGTTCCTTTGGTGGTCACCTTTAAAAATTGTTCAAAGAATTTAATTCCATGCAGAACTCTGGTTACCATGGCAACCGAAAGAAAAAACTTTAAAAATCTTCTTTTAAAAAACCATAAGAGCTAGAGCTTAGATATTTGGCATGAAACATCTTCTAGTGAGTGTCTACCAAGTTTGTTCAAATAAAAGCCCTGGGGTCAAAATTGGCCCCGCCCCGGGGGTCATTGATTTTCCCTATATGCATATAGTAAAAACTTAAAAAATCTTCTTTTAAAGAACTCAAAGAGCTATGGCTAAGATATTGAGCATCAAACATGTTCTAATAAGTGTCTACCAAGTTTGTTCAAAGAAAAGCCCTGGGGTCAAAATTGGCCCCGCCCCAGGGGGTCATTGATTTTCCCTATATGCATATAGTAAAAACTTAAAAAATCTTCTTTTAAAGAACCAAAAGAGTTAAAGCACAGATATTTAGCATGAAACATGTTCTAATAAGTGTCTACCAAGTTTGTTCAAATAAAAGCCCTGGGGTCAAAATTGACCCCGCCCCGGGGGTCATTGATTTTCCCTATATATGCATATAGTAAAAACTTAAAAAATCTTCTTTTAAAGAACTCAAAGAGCTATGGTTAAGATATTTAGCATCAAACATGTTCTAATAGGTGTCTACCAAGTTTGTTCAAATAAAAGCCCTGGGGTCAAAATAGGCCCCGCCCCGGGGGTCATTGATTTTCCTTATATGTGTATAGCAAAAACTTAAAAAATCTTTTTTGAAAAAACCCAAATAGCTAGAGTTAAGATATTTAGCATGAAACATCTTTTAGTGAGTGTCTACAAAGTTTGTTCAAATAAAAGACCTTGGGGTCAAAATTGGCCCCGCCCCGGGGTCATTGATTTTCCTTATATGTGTATAGCAAAAACTTAAAATCTTCTTTGAAAAAACCCAAATAGCTAGAGTTTAGATATTAAGCATTAAACATATTCTAGTAAGTGTCTACAAAGTTTGTTCAAATAAAAACCCTGGGGTCATAACTGGCCCGGCCCCAGGGGTGTCATTGTTTTTAACTATATGTGTATAGTAAAAACTTAAAAAAAATCTTCTTTTAAATAGCCCAATGAGCTAGAGCTTAGATGTTTAGCATGAAACATCTTCTTATGGGCGTCTACCAAGTTTGTGCAAATAAAAGCCCTTTGGTTAAATTGGCCCTGCAACGTTTGGGGGGGGGTGGGGGTTGGGGGGCCTATATACAGGTGAGCGACCTCAGGGCCATCATGGCCCTCTTGTTTAACGTTTTAAGTTTTTTAAAATATGTTTGAAAGCTCCCATATGCATAATCATTCCTTCATGGTAGAATATCCTGGCTTCATTGTAGTGACAGATATGGATTATTAAATGAGATAATCATGCAAATTGTGATTCCTCTTAATGGTGCATTAAGTAAATGGCTGACTTTATTCAAAATTTAGTGGCTAACTACCTAAATGTACTAGAAATTGTCTAGGTTAGTTACAGAGAACATTTATGGTACACATAAACTTGTTTCACACATTTTAGCCCTGTGAAATATGTCCAAAGTCAATGCTGATCGAGTCCATTCCACAGGAAATTTTACAGTCTTTTTTCTCATTTTTTCAGCCACCAGAGATACAGAAAATTGTTTTGAAAAGTATTATAAATAGTCTGCTGAAGGACAAAAAGTAAGTATTTTAATACTGTATTTTTATAACCTACTTATAGAAACTCTATTACTCAATAATCGAATAATCATTATTCTGTGATCTGGCAGGAAAAGTGCTGTTTTGATTTTATTTTTATACATGCTGACGTATTCACCTAAATACTTTGAAATTTTTAGATCAAAATAACAGACACTGTGACCTACTCAGCAAGTGACTTTATTAAGCACAAAGAGACTACTGAGTTTCTTTTCGGCATGAAGGTGCTGGAAATATTTTTTCAAGATTTTTTAACCGTTTGTTGAAGATCAATCATTATAAATAATTTTATTTGTAAAATTTCATTTTCATCTTTTTCGAGAATAATTTACAATTTTTATTTTTCAAAATGAAAAAAGCATATCAGTGCTTTAACTCAAATTTGGCTTAGAATTGCTTTTTACATGTATATCCACCAGCGCAGGCTGGTCTGGATCCATGCTGGTTGCAAACCCATTATGTTGGTTTTGTCGTGACACAGCTCATTTTATTTCTCATTTTACAGTTTTTAAGTGCCCTGGTTTATCTATACAAGATTTTCAAAATTTATAATTTATCCTTTTCGACCCCAGCGGAGTTCCTTACTAACTTGTGACCCAGCACAGAACCTTTCACTGTATTGTTTGACTGTTATATATTGGAAATTTAATTAGCACAGTTTTCATCAAATTTAATTTTGATGACATAAATAATTCAGTTTTTACATATAAATAAATGAAAAATGTGGGTAGTACTTCAGGACAAATAAATGAACAATTTGATGAATTAGTTATTACATTCTTTCTTGTTTTATATAAAGAGCATTCATGTATATTGTAGACTTTTAATTCTCAAGTTTAATTTATTGATATTCCCAATTATGCTTTGAATTATTTATGAAGTTGGCCACGTAATTTGAATTGAGCTGGTGAAAAGCAAACAATTCTTTACCATTGTTTGTTTGATCTTTTGTTATTTTCATTATGGAAGTTAAATATGCCATTCTTTTAATCGTGGAATTTTACTGAAACCTAACACTTTAAAGGATTTTAAAACTTTTCAATTTTGAACTGCAAAGTCTACTCATCAATGTTCTTATGTAAAGTTCACAATCAAGGGTCTTATATCATTTTGATGACACACTTTTTGACTTCTGTCTTTTTACCATTCGATTTTTTTTTTGTAATTAAAAATTAGTTTTCAGATATTTGTCTTTAAAGGAACTCTACTGAGGTCTAAAAGCATAAAATATGAATTTCTCTCGTAGATCAGCTTCGGCACTTAAGACAGAAAAATACACAAAAGATAATTTAAAGAAATAAATTGAAGATCATATTTTTGTGCTTTTCAAAGCTCACTTTGAGTGAAAAGAGTTGCAATGCTTTTCAAATTTGGGTCAATTACAATTAGAATAATTATTCTATGAAAAACAGAGAGAGTTAATGATCAAGAATTTAGCACAAGAATTTAGCACAAAAGTTTTTGGTCTAGGCCTACATCAAATGGAACATTAATCTTGAAAAATTATTCCCAGTCAAATCATGTTAAAAACAACATCAGTTGAGTCCCTTTTAGTTTAGATCGATCCAGTGTAACCACAGCAGAACTTATGTTCACAAAGAAAAAGTCTGAATTCTGATTAAGTTTAATGTACCTTAATGTAACATTAAAGATTCATGAAACATTTCATAATTGTGAAAAAGTAGCTGTTTATTTACTTCAAAACCAAGTAATTAAATTTTGATGATGAAAAATGGAAATAACTAACAATTTCATTTACAAACAGCCTTGGATTGAAATGTAGATCAATTTGAGATCTGATCAAAGTTTCAATCAATTCCTAAAACTCTTTTTGTATAAATAGACCATATTTTTCACTTAAAATCACCATCTATAATGTCATTGCACAACTGCAAAATTTGAAGAATGTCATGGTCATTGTTTAATATTGTTATGACAAGGTCACTTAATCATGTCAAGGTCATATATTTTACTAGAACATCATTGGAAAACTACAAAATTTGATAAGAATGTCAAGGTCAGTGTTTAATATTTTTATGACAAGGTCACTTAATCATGTCAAGGTCAGTTCCTACCACTAAATGTCAATATTTGTTTGGTCTAAAATTGTTGTAAAATTTTAATTAATAAGAATCATATAAAGAGTTGTATTAAAAATTTACAAAAAATAAAATTGAGACAAATAAGCTATTTTAATATTTGTCTGTTCATTTGTACATGTATTTATTTATATTATAACTGTTTGCAATTTCTTTTTTTATAAACGCTTTCATAGGAATAACCATATGCAATGGTAAGACTAAATGTTGTCCATGTAATTCATTCTTTAATTGGCGCCCCATTTCCTTGCATGGTTAACTTAAGGTGTATGAATTTCTTGCCTCTTACTGCGACCAGAATTTGAATCCTGAAAGAGATTTTAAATGCTTTCATGTGAAGAAGCTACCTGGCTAGCTTATTAATTGCAAATTTTTCTGCTTAACTGGTGTCCATTTGTTCAGGCAGGCAGCCTAATGCACAAAAAGTGGCACTCAAGGTCATTAACTAACAATTGTAATATAAAGTCAGTATAGGACCAAACTGTGCCCATCATGACCTAAAACCCAACTAAAGAATTATGTGTAATGTTTCAGCTGCAGATTTTCTGTGGCATGTGTAATGATAAGCTTGTAAGCTTGCTATTTATGTAGCCTTTCTTTGTTCATTGTAACCTGAAATTCATGTAATTTTAGTACTATGTCTTTTGTATAATATGCGTATAAGAGACTTGAGCTTCAGTTTGATTTACTATTAGCCTGGCAAAATTGTCATAAATTTTCTGCTCATAATTTGAAACAGTCTATTGTTATTTTTAGCTCGACTATACGAAGTATATGGAGAGCTGTCCTACTCGCCCCGGCGTCGGCGTCCGCGTCCAGATTTTAGATTAAAGTTTTGGTGCAGTAAAATATTTTTCACTATAACTTTGTCATTTCTTAAGGTATCAACTTCAAACTTCAAATATATGTTCCTTATCATCAACCACATCTTATGTGACAAGGTTCATAACTCTAGCACCAATATTTTCAGATTTATCTCCCCTTGAACTTATAATTTTTCTTAAAAGATACTATTTTTTACTGATACTTCTTTATTTCTAAAGGGATCAACCTCATACTTCAAATATATGTACCTTATCATCATCCCCATCTTATGTGACAAGGGTCATAACTCTAGCACCAATATTTTCAGATTTATCTCCCCTTGAACTTAGAATTTTCCTCAAAAAATACTATTTCTTACTGTTTCTTCTTTATTTCTTAAGGGATCAACCTCATACTTCAAATATATGTACCTTATCATCATCCCCATCTTATGTGACAATGTTCATAACTCTAGCACCAATATTTTTAGATTTATCTCCCTTTGAACTTAGAATTTTCCATACAAAATATTATTTTTTACTGTAACTTATTTATTTCTAAAGGGATCAACTTCATACTTCAAATATATTTACGTTATCATCATCCACATCTTATGTGACAAGGTTCATAACTCTAGCACCAATATCGCAAGAAATTATCTCCCCATAAACTTAGATTTATTTACTAGAAAAATGTTATTTTTTATTTTAACTTTTTTATTTTTAAAGGTATCTACCTCAAACTTCAAATACTTATTCCTTATAATCATTTACATTTTATGTGACAATGTTCATAACTTCTTGAAGCAATATTTACAGATTTATCTCCCCTTTGAACTTAGGATTTTCTTTAAGAAATATAATAACTTCTTTATTTTTAAGATATCTACTTCAAACTTCAAATATATATTTCTTATCATTACACAAATGTTGTGTGGCAAGGTCCATAACTCTTGCATGACTATTTCTAGAATTATTCCCCTTGCTCTTGGAATTTATGTTAACAAATGTTATATTTTTACTATAACTTAATACTTAATTATACATAATTGATTTTTCTTTCATAGTTTTGTCCTCCTTACTGCGTCCAGCATTTTATTAGTCGAGCTTCGCTGTCTCCTGTGACAGCTCTTGTTAAATCACTTGCCCCCTCACCACTGATTATTTGAATACTATCAAGGATAGCTAATCAAGGGATTCTTTATCATGAGAGGAAACTAACCATCCAGCTTACAAAATTTTAGTTGTTCTACTCAGGTGCCCGCTTGTGTCTAAGAAAGTGCACAATTTTGTAGGGCATATGAGGTTTTCCTCCAGAAGTAAAACTGTAATGACACCATATGTCTCAACCTTAAAACCTATATCGCAGTTATTATCCCCCGCCGAAAATTTTCGGCAGAGGATATAGAAATAGTCTCCGTCCGTCCGTCCGACCTTCCGTCCTTCCATCCGTCCGTCCTTCCGTCCGACATTTTTGTCCGGAGCATATCTCTAAAAGTATTTGAGTTATCAACTTGAAACTTCATAGGTGGATAGACCTCATTGAGGAGGAGTGCAGTGCATGAGAATGATAACTCTACCTTGCATAATTTTTGAGTTATTGCCCTTTGTTATTTTTCAAAATTGATTTTTGTCCAGAGCATAACTGCAAAAGCCTATGAGATATTAACATGAAACTTCATAGGTGCATAGATCTCACTCAGGAGGTGTGCAGTGCACAAGAATGATAACTCTACCTTTCATAATTTTTGAGTTATTGCCCTTTGTTATTTTTCATACCTAATTTTTCACCTGAGTGGAGCATAACTCTAAAAGTGTTTGAGATATCAACATGAAATGTCATAGGTGGATAGATCTTATTGAGGAGGAATGTTGTGCGCAAGAATGATAACTCTTCCCTATTCAATTTTTGAGTTATTGCCCTTTGGTTTTTTTTCATGCTATTTTGTCCAGAGCTTATCTCAAAAAGTATTTGAGGTATCAACTTGAAAATTCAAAGGTGGATGGATCTCATTGAGGAGGAGTGCAGTGCTTAAGAATGATAACTCTACCCTGCATTATTTTTGAGTTATTGCCCTTTGTTATTTTTTAAAATTAATTTTTGTCCAGAGCATAACTCAAAAAGCCTTTGAGATATCAAAATGAAACTTCATAGGTGCATAGATCTCACTCAGGAGGTGTGCACTGCAAGAATGATAAATCTAACTTTTATAATATTTGAGTTATTGCCCTTTGTTCTTTTTCATACTTAATTTTTAAATTCATTTTTTTTCTCAAAAAGTATTTGAGGTATCAACTTGAAACTTCATAGGTGGATAGATTTTACTGAGGAGGGATGCAGCACACAAGAATGATAACCTACCCTGCATTATTTTTCAGTAATTGCCCTTTGTTATTTTCAGTCATCAGTATTCACATAGGTTTCAAATCTGTAATCACTATAGCCATCAGTTTTCATTACCAAAAGACCTCTTAAAATGGAATTATTCCGCTCTACTACATATACATTCTTCCAATGAGCAAACACATTCGGCAGGGGATGGCCATGTTGACATGGCTCTTGTTATTTCTATTGTTAAAATTAAAAAAAAGGCATGTGATATTCTTTGATATTCTTCATGCTTAACATAATTTTTATTGTTGGATATTTGAAATAACTTTATAATATGGTATGAAAGGTGACATTTCTGTCATGCTCTTTCCATAAAACACACATGAATTATGTTTTAACAAGTGTTCGCTTTTGACAATTAAGTGAAAATTTTTTATTTATATTTGCTTAAATTTAAAAATTATTATATTACTATAGAAAAATAATGTTATCAACCGTATGTTTAACTTTCAGGCCACATTCCAAAGATGATTTGAGAGCATATCTAGTCTTGTTACAGGTAGGAGCATTATGTGATTTTATTGTTTTATTGTCAGAATAAATACTGTCTATGGTTTCCTTTAGTGGCATCTGAGAAGTTCAACTTTAGTATAATACTTAGTATGAAAACTTGTTATATTAACTAAGACATGCATACATTTCTTTAGAACTAGATCATGTACAATGACCTAGTGGATACAGCGTAATCCTGAGATCCCAAGTGTGTTGCCCATATAAGGTTTCGGTTGGCAGGGGTGGCAAAATCAATTGTCTATATTACTCACAGCCAGTATGGAAAAGTCAAAATTTTACCAGAATTTACTTTATAAATACAATACAAACAAGTAAAGAAGTAAATCATATAAAATGGACAAGTAAGTCAAAGCCGTGTCCTGGGTTGCCACTATCAATATTCCTTTATATTTCATACACAGTCATACACTTTTAGAATTGTATCTCAAAATATGAAGCAAAATTAATAGTTTTAATGCATTGCAAGTATTTATTATATTGTAGAATCCTCAGTTTGGAAGCTCATCAACATATGTGATATTTGCACACTTGTTACGGCAGATTGCCGCATTGACTGACCATGATCATCATTATCTAGTCTACTGGATGAGAAAGTAAGTTATTAATCACTTTATATATTACATGTATAGTAATTAAAGACTCATTAAGCCTAAAAAATGGTAACAGTTTCATTTTTGTGCAAGTGTTGTCAGATTCTACATGTGAGAAAGCTATCCAGCAAGCTAATGGAATGTTGGTGGTTCTACTGAGATGCTCCTTTGTGCCTGCCTAAAATAATGTACAGATGGGCACCTGAGGTCTTTCTCCACCGGTAAAGCTGGAAAGTTGCCAAATCGGCCTTTACTGTGTTGGTACAATGGATGTTAAAGCCTACAAAGTTTCATTTTTAGCTCGACTATATGGAGCATAGTATATGGAGAGCTGTCCTACTCGCCCCGGCGTCGGCATCCGCGTCCAGATTTTAGATTAAGGTTTTGATGCAGTAAAATATTTTTCACTATAACTTTGTCATTTCTTAAGGTATCAACTTCAAACTTCAAAATATATGTTCCTTATCATCAACCACATCTTATGTGACAAGGTTCATAACTCTAGCACCAATATTTTCAGATTAATCTCCCCTTGAATTTAGAATTTTCCTTAAAAAATACTATTTTTTACTGTTACTTCTTTATTTCTTAAGGGATCAACCTCATACTTCAAATATATGTACCTTATCATCATCCCCATCTTATGTGACAAGGTTCATAACACTAGCACCAATATTTTCAGATTTATCTCCCCTTGAACTTAGAATTTTCCTCAAAAAATACTATTTCTTAACTGTTTCTTCTTTATTTCTTAAGGGATCAACCTCATACTTCAATATATTTTACGTTATCATCATCCCCATCTTATGTGACAAGGTTCATAACTCTAGCACCAATATTTTTTCAGATTTATCTCCCTTTGAACTTAGAATTTTCCATAAAAAATATTATTTTTTACTGTTACTTATTTATTTCTAAAGGGATCAACTTCATACTTCAAATATATTTACGTTATCATCATCCACATCTTATGTGACAAGGTTCATAACTCTAGCACCAATATTGGCAAAAAATTATCTCCCATAAACTTAAGATTTTTTTACTAGAAAAATGTTATTTTTTATTATAACTTTTTTATTTTTAAAGGTATTTACCTCTAACTTCAAATACTTATTCCTTATCATCAATAACATTTTATGTGACAATGTTCATAACTCTTGAAGCAATATTTACAGATTTATCTCTCTTTGAACTTAGGATTTTCTTTAAGAAATATAATAACTTCTTTACTTTTTAAGGTATCTACTTCAAACTTCAAATATATATTTCTTATCATTACACAAATGTTGTGTGGCAAGGTCCATAACTCTAGCATGACTATTTCTAGAATTATTCCCCTTGATCTTGGAATTTATGTTAACAAATGTTATTTTTTTACTATAACTTAATACATAATTATACATAATTGATTTTTCTTTCATTGTTTTGTCCTCCTTACTGCGTCCAGTATTTTATTAGTTGAGCTTCGCTGTCTCCTGTGACAGCTCTTGTTCAAAAGCTTTTTATTTGAGATGTTCTGTTACAGTTTCAAAATTGTTTATGTTACTCAATGGTCATATAGCTGAGACATCTTTGCTTCATTTGTGTTTTGGCAAGAATACAGAATAGCTGTCTGATGTCATCTTTGTATAAACAGATGAAAGTTTTTTTTGTCTAAATATATTTTAACGTTGCTAACTTATAACCATGTGCTGAACACTTTTATCGGCTCAACTGGTTATTTTGACTAAAAGAAATATTTTATAAGTGTCTCTGGTTCTACTCAAGTTTTCAGCTTGTTTATATGTGGTGATCACAGTGGCTTAGTTTATCATAGAGTTAGATTGATAAGTACATGTACTGTATTCAATTTTTTGACTAGGTCCTGTTATTCAAATGTATAAAGAAATGGGGAAAAAAACATTTCTGAAACTACAAAAAATGTATATTTATAATATGTTACAATGGTAATTTACAGACTGTCAGGTGACAGAGTCCAGGCATTGTTGGAAAGATTAAACTCTTTCATATCAATACGATTATTTCCCCCGAAACCCCAAGATCTACCACCAATGGTGAAATGTAGCTGGTGGATTCCTAGCAGTACCAAAGTTATGGCATTGTTAAGTAAGTATTGAATTTATAATTATCTTCAGATATTAGGTTTGTGTAGGGCTGATAAAAGAGATTTTGGTAGTCTGTACAGTGATGAAGTTAGGTGAGGCTGACAAAAGAGTTTTCGGTAGTCTCTTTCTAGGTGAGGTTTGGATGAGGCTTATAGGAGAGACATTGGTAGTCTGTACAGATATAAGGTTTAGCTGAGGCTGATAAAATAGATTTTGGTAGTCACTTCAGAGATGAGGTTTAGGTGAGGTGGATAAAAGAGATTTTGGTAGTCACTTCAGAGATGAGGTTTTGGTGAGGCGGATAAAAGAGATTTTGGTAGTCACTTCAGAGATGAGGTTTAGGTGAGGCGGATAAAAGAGATTTTGGTAGTCTTTACAGATATAAGGTTTAGCTGAGGCTGATAAAAGAGATTTTGGTAGTCACTTCAGAGAGGAGGTTTCGGTGAGGCTGATAAAAGAGATTTTGGTAGTCACTTCAGAGATGAGGTTTAGGTGAGGCGGATAAAGGCGGATAAAAGAGATTTTGGTAGTCACTTCAGGGATGAGGTTTTTGGTGAGGCTGATAAAAGAGATTTTGGTAGTCACTTCAGAGATGAGGTTTTGGTGAGGCTGATAAAAGAGATTTTGGTAGTCTTTACAGATATAAGGTTTAGCTGAGGCTGATAAAAGAGATTTTGGTAGTCTTTACAGATATAAGGTTTAGCTGAGGCTGATAAAATAGATTTTGGTAGTCACTTCAGAGATGAGGTTTAGGTGAGGCTGATAAAAGAGATTTTTGTAGTCACTTCAGAGATGAGGTTTAGGTGAGGCTGATAAAAGAGATTTTGGTAGTCACTTCAGGGATGAGGTTTAGGTGAGGCTGATAAAATAAATTTTGGTAGTCACTTCAGAGATGAGGTTTAGGTGAGGCGGATAAAAGAGATTTTGGTAGTCACTTCAGAGATGAGGTTTTAGGTGAGGCTGATAAAAGAGATTTTGGTAGTCACTTCAGGGATGAGGTTTGGGTGAGGCTGATAAAAGAGATTTTGGTAGTCACTTCAGAGATGAGGTTTGGGTGAGGCTGATAAAAAGAGATTTTGGTAGTCACTTCAGGGATGAGGTTTGGGTGAGGCTGATAAAAGAGATTTTGGTAGTCACTTCAGGGATGAGGTTTGGGTGAGGCTGATAAGAGATTTTGGTAGTCACTTCAGAGATGAGGTTTGGGTGAGGCTGTTAAAAGAGATTTTGGTAGTAACTTCAGGGATGAGGTGTGGGTGAGGCTGATAAAAGAGATTTTGGTAGTCACTTCAGGGATGCGGTTTGGGTGAGGCTGATAAAAGAGATTTTGGTAGTCACTTCAGGGATGAGGTTTGGGTGGACTTGCCATTGGTGGGAAGGAAGAGCCTAATATCTTTTGCTTATTTTCTACCATGACCTCACTTAATTCAAATGTTCTATAGGGGTTCGGCTTAATTTTATTGTAAGAGAAATTCTTGGTGTCTATTAATTCTTAGACAGGTTTTGGGAGGATGGTGGTTAAACAGACATGATGAGCACTGGAGGGAATGAGTTTACTTGTTTTATGATTATCTTTGTATGAACAGTACAACCTTTTCAGAGAAACATCCATGCATTTTTACAGATTGTGAATGTGAATTTATTTTATTATTCAAAACAATGTAGAATACAGAGAGTTGATAAACTTGTTTTACTTTGTCAAGATTACATTTAAATTGTATTTCCGCCTCATTAAATCTGTGATAAAAGATATTTAGACGTGCACAGGATATTGAAATTAACAGGTTCCCTACAATCAATTATTGAAATGTTTAACACATGTAGTGTACTTTACAATTTGCTAAATGGATTCCTATTACAGATGTAATTGAGATGGTTGTCTCTAAGGAACTGGTGTTAGAATTATTTAACCTTGATTATTAATCATGTATTATTGTATACATTACAACAAGGACGATTAATCTGGGTTAATAGTTTTTGTTCTCGTTGCCTTATATTGTTTTTTTAGCTCACCTGTCACAAAGTGACAGGGTGAGCTTTTGTGATCGCTTTTCGTCCGGCGTCCGTCCGTCCGTCGTCCGTCCGTCCGTCCGTAAACTTTTGCTTTAAATGACATCTCCTCATAAACCACTGAGCCAATTTCATCCAAACTTCACAGGAATGTTCCTTTGGTGGTCACCTTTAAAAATTGTTCAAAGAATTTAATTCCATGCAGAACTCTGGTTGCCATGGCAACCAAAAGAAATTTTTTTAAATATCTTCTTTTAAAAAACCATAAGAGCTAGAGCTTAGATATTTGGCATGAAACATCTTCTAGTGAGTGTCTACCAAGTTTGTTCAAATAAAAGCCCTGGGGTCAAAATTGGCCCCGCCCCTGGGGGTTTGATTGATTTTCCCTATATGCATATGGTAAAAACTTAAAAAATCTTCTTTTAAAGAACCGTAAGAGCTAGAGCTTAGATATTTGGCATGAAACATCTTCTAGTGAATGTCTACTAAGTTTGTTCAAATAAAAGCCCTGGGGTCAAAATTGGCCCCGACCCAGGGGGTCATTGATTTTCCCTATATGCATATAGTAAAAACTTAAAAAATCTTCTTTTAAAGAACCCAAAGAGCTAGAGCTAAGATATTAAGCATGAAACATGTTCTAATGGATGTCTACCAAGTTTGTTCAAATTAAAGCCCTGGGGTCAAAATTGGCCCGCCCCGGGGGTCATTGATTTTCCCTATATGCATATAGTAAAAACTTAAAAAAATTTCTTTTAAAGAACCATAAGAGCTAGAGCTTAGATATTTGGCATGAAACATCTTCCAGTGAATGTCTACCAAGTTTGTTCAAATAAAAGCCCTGGGGTCAAAATTGGCCCCGCCCCAGGGGGTCATAGATTTTCCCTATATGCATATAGTAAAAACTTTAAAAAAAATTTCTTTTAAAGAACCCAAAGAGCTAGAGCTAAGATATTAAGCATGAAACATCTTCTAGTGAGTGTCTACCAAGTTTGTTCAAATTAAAGCCCTGGGGTCAAAATTGGCCCCGCCCCGGGGGTCATTGATTTTCCCTATATGCATATGGTAAAAACTTAAAAAATCTTCTTTTAAAGAACCATAAGAGCTAGAGCTTAGATATATGGCATGAAACATCTTCTAGCGAATGTCTACCAAGTTTGTTCAAATAAAAGCCCTGGGGTCAAAATTGACCCTGCCCCAGGGGGTCATAGATTTTCCCTATATGCATATAGTAAAAACTTAAAAAATCTTCTTTTAAAGAACCCAAAGAGCTAGAGCTAAGATATTTAGCATGAAACATCTTCTAATGAGTGTCTACCAAGTTTGTTCAAATAAAAGCTCTGGGGTCAAAATTGGCCCCGCCCCAGGGGGTCATTGATTTTCCCTATATGCATATAGTTAAAACTTTAAAAATCTTCTTTTAAAGAACTCAAAGAGCTAGAGATAAGATATTTAGCATGAAACATGTTCTAATGGGTGTCTACCAAGTATGTTCAAATAAAAGCCCTGGGGTCAAAACTGGCCCCACCCGGGGGGGGGTCATTGATTTTCCTTATATGTGTATAGCAAAAACTTAAAAATCTTCTTTGGAAAAACCCAAATAGCTAGAGTTTAGATATTAAGCATGAAACATCTTTAAGTAAATATCTACAAATTTTGTTAAAATAAACGTCCGGGGGTCAAAACTGGCCCTGCCCCAGGGGTGACATTGTTTTTAACTATATGTGTATAGTAAAAACTTTAAAAATCTTCTTTTAAAAATGCCAATGAGCTAGAACTTAGATGTTTAGCATGAAACATCTTCTTATGGGTGTCTACCAAGTCTGTTCAAATAAACAAATAAAAGCCCTTGGGTAAAAATTGGCCCGGGGGTGGGGGGCCTATATACAGGTGAGCGACCTCAGGGCCATCATGGCCCTCTTGTTTTGTTAGCCCAACTATTAAAAGAATAGGGAGCGCTATTATACTCACCCTGGTGTCTGTTCAAATATCGTTTATAGGACTTGTGCAATGACATTAAAGTGACATGGTCTATAATGGAAGGTCTGTAATTGAATAATTATGTTCATAGTGTTTTGTAACAGACATAACAACAAACCATGAATTATATATGGATGTTGTTGCTAAGTATGAGATACATGATCCATTATTACATATATTTATGTAGCAAACAATAATTTGTTCTAGAACAAAAATATTATCATTCATCATAATAATGTTAATTATAAATCAATAAGAACTTAATATTTTATAAGAAGTGGTACATTTCTATAAATTTTATCAATTGTTGATATTCTTATGAAAAATGTTCCCACTATAGATCAATCCACTTTAAAAGGTAATAATCGTGTTTGTTTCTAGTGTTGGTTTTCTTGTTTGGTTTTGTAATGGTTACTTACACTTTATGTACTTTATGTTTATTTTCAGATGCTGCCAATAATTTGTGCCAACCACCTGTAGTGTCACATATGGAGTTTTACAACATGGCTTTGGATAACCTTGACCTTATGCAAGAGTATTTGGCATGGCAAGACCCAAACTCAAGTGGAGGGTGAGTGTAATAGGTGGAGGATGAGTGTAATAGGTGGAGGATGATTGTTATAGTTGGAGGGTGAGTGTAATAGTTTGAAGGCAAGTGTAATAGGTTAAAGGTAATAGGTGGAGGATGAGTGTAATATGTGGAGGATGATTGTTATAGTTGGAGGATGAGTTTAATAGTTTGAAGGCAAGTGTAATAGGTTAAAGATGAGTGTAATTGATGGAGGATGAGTGTAATAGGTGGAGGTTGAGTGTAATAGATGGAGGATGAGTGTAATAGGTGGAGGATGAGTGTAATAGATGGAGGATGAGTGTATTAGGTGGAGGATGATTGTAATAGATGGAGGATGAGTGTAATAGGTGGAGGATGAGTTTAATAGTTTGAAGGCAAGTGTAATAGGTTAAAGATGAGTGTAATTGATGGAGGATGAGTGTAATAGGTGGAGGTTGAGTGTAATAGATGGAGGATGAGTGTAATAGGTGGAGGATGATTGTTGTAGTTGGAGGGTGAGTGTAATAGTTTGAAGGCAAGTGTTATAGGTTAAAGGTGAGTGTAATAAGTGGGGGATGAGTGTAATCGGTGGGGGATGAGTGTAATAGGTGGGGATGAGTGTAAGAGGTGGGGGATGAGTGTAATAGGTGGAGGATGAGTGTAATAGTTGGAGGGTGAGTGTAATAGTTTGAAGGCAAGTATAATAGGTTAAAGGTGAGTGAAATAGGTGGGGGATGAGTGTAATAGGTGGGAGATGAGGGTGAATGTTATAGGGGTGTGGTGAATGTAATGGGTTGAGGGCAAATGTAATAGTTGAAGAGTGAGTCTAAGAGGTTGAGGGTGAGTGTAATAAGTTGATGGTAATAATTATCTGGAGGATGATGATAATATCTGGAGGGTGATGGTTATATCTGGAGGATGATGGTAATATGTGGAGGGTGATGATAATATCTGGAGGAGGATGATAATATCTGGTGGAGGATGGTAATATCTGGAGGATGATGGTAATATGTGGAGGGTGATGATAATATGTGGAGGGTGATGATAATATGTGGAGGGTGAGGGTAATATCTGGAGGGTGATGATAATATGTGGAGGGTGATGATAATATCTGGAGGATGATGATAATATCTGGAGGGTGATGATAATATCTGGAGGATGATGATAATATCTGGAGGATGATGGTAATATCTGGAGGATGATGGTAATATGTGGAGTGTGATGATAATATGTGGAGGGTGATGATAATATGTGGAGGGTGAGGGTAATATCTGGAGGGTGATGATAATATCTGGAGGAGGATGATAATATCTGGAGGAGTATGATAATATCTGGAGGATGATGATAATATCTGGAGGGTGATGATAATATGTGGAGGGTGATGATAATATGTGGAGGGTGAGGGTAATATGTATAAGGTGGAGCATGTGTAATAGATGGAGTGCGAGTGTAATAGATTTTTTTTCCAAAAAAGACTTGTGCCCAGTCCCAGTTCAAGTTTGGTGCCTTCTGGGTGATCTGCTGTGGTAGCTTGGGTGTGCTGGGCCTGCATCTTTCCCATGTTGATCTTTGTTCTTGTCTTGTAACTGGAAAGCAAATCATATGAGTAGTCTGAGAGTGTGTTGAGTCTTCTGTGGTCATCTTCTTATAATGAGCTCTTGACTTGAATTGTTTTCTGTGACAAAAAGGTTTGATATTTTTGTTTAAACTTGTGTTCTTCACTATTGTAATGATTTTGGAGAGGTTGGCAGTTACTTGCAGGGAAAATAATGGTAATATTGGCACAGAAATATGGAAACATTCTATAGCTAATTTCCTTGGATATATGACTGATATATTGTTGCAGCAATATACAATATTTTAATATTGTTGCCAGTAATTGCCATTACTCATTCCTAGCCATGTTTTCATACCCCACCTTAAAAATGTAATATTACCATAAATCTATCAGCTTATAAGCTATTATCAGTTTTGACCGTAGTCAGTATCACTTGATTAATTAATGATGATATATTACTTGGCTTTCATGAAATATGTATAAGTACCGGTATTGTAAATATGCCACTGTGAATGGCAAATGAAGTGGGAGTGTTAATGTCCTATGAACATATTTCCAGTGTTTTTACTGTAAAGGTAAATACATACAGCTGTACTGCTGCTGAACATTTGAATTTAAGTTATCAAAGACATTATTTGATAAAGATGCCAGTTTTTTAGAAAGAAAGTAAACAATTTAACCAGAATTTAATGTGAGTATTGATTTATCTAAGTTCAAATGAAATATAAGACAGGGGTTAAATTGCACCTTTATTAAAGTAACATTATTCTACATTTTTTTCACTGTTTGAACTGAGAAAAAAATGACTTAATTTTTCAAAGAATTGACTATAACAATGGCAATTGAGCAATAAATGTAATGACAAATGTTTAGGATAAAATATAAAAACACCTAAAAATAAAAAAGACTGCCTCACTCTTTTTATAAAATAAATATAACTGATAATTTCTGGAGGTTATTTATAGATATTTATGTGGGTCACATTTGTTATTAATTATTCAGATGACGTTTATTATGAAATTGAAAACAAATATGACAAAATGTAAAAAAATTTTGAATTTTACCTGAACATGCACCATTTACTCTGGGATGGGCATAATGTCACTTTAATTTTGAGTGTTTGTATTTTCATACACAATGGGCATAAAGTAACTATAATTGTTGATGTGTTTATATTTTCAGGTTTTCGTTCTGTCAGTACCCTTTTATCCTCAGTATTACAGCAAAGAGAACAATTCTACAACGAGATTCAGAGCAACAGATGATACTAATGGCTAGAGTATGTTTATATTGAATAGTATAAGAGGAGGCTTTCTGAATACACCCATTCACAGTTTTTATATGAACTACATATATAACCAAGAAATATCAGATGAAAACAAAGTATTATCTGTCCCGAATTGCGAGAAAATAATTGATCTTACAATAAGTTGTTTTAAACTGCAAGTTAATTGCGATTTATTGTCCGATTTTCAAAATTCATACACCAATAAAAAGTTAGTGATTTTCATATCAATATAAACTTCAAAATATCTTTTAACACTAAAGATACTAAAATTTAATGTTCAACTTACCACCTGCCTGCCACTGATAAGAATAGCCTGTTGTCTGCTAGTTCGGTAACTGTTTGCTGGTGAATTCAAGCATCTTGGTGTATTTACTTTTAACCACATTTTTTCTGAATCCAGGTGAAGAATGTTTCTTCTGGACCCGAATTAAAATACAAGTCATCTAAGCTTATACATCGTTGTTAACTATAAACAAAGTGAGGTTGTAAATGTTGTTAAATACGTGTACATTGCTTTAGAAATCATGTGACAAAGTGTATATTTTTAAAAACAGTTCTTTTAAACACCAAATGATATTGTGTATGTACTAAGTTAAATGTGTCACATTTTGGAAATTATCCAAAATTTTAGATGACTTCATTTTTATGCTTATCTATAGTCATTAAATGAAAACATTTAATTTCTAATTTCATTAGTTTTGATGTTAGCTAATAGATAATCTGAATTGGATATTTCAGAGAAGTCTGGTTGCTAAGGTACAAAGACGGCAGTTACCGGATGTTGGAATGTTGTTTTTTAACCTGACTGTGAGAAGAGAACATCTGGTCTCAGATTCTTTAAATGAGGTATGTATATGTGTTTTGATTTGTTCTTTGTGTACTTTATTATAGGAAATCATGTTCATCGGCAACATGAAATCAGGCATCTTCATTTTTAGCAGAACTATTCATAGAATATATTGGCGCGCCAGACTTTGGTAAAATTGCGTGCAAGTGAGTATCTCCAAAGATTCTGGAGGAAATTGGTTGAAACTGCACAGTTATATTTGAGAGCATAATAGGAGGCCACTTTTCAAGACCTGTAACTCTAAGATGGATTTTGACAGAATTTTGGCGCCAGTCAAAAACTAGGTCACAGGAGCTAAAAAGAGAATAATCGAGCACTCTTTCCTCTAACTGACAGCTTTTTTTGTGCTGAAACTGTTTAGATCTGCAGCTTGTCTTCAACTTTAGTGGACTTAGATCTGATATTTGAATATGGTTGGCATAGATGTAATATTCAAATTTTTGAGGATTGATCTGATAATTAAATTTGGTTGGCAAATCTAATATTTATTAGGCTGTGATGGCTGTGATATACAGAATCATCAAATTAGATCCAATCTTGTAACATACATTAGAGTCAAATATAAGAAATAGCTGATATATTCTTATTTGCCCATTTATTATTTACCTCCATATACTTATTTAACCATAAAAATGGTATTGCATCAGCAAGGTCATCCTGAATCATTATACAGTAGTGATTCACTAATTAATTTCTTCTATTCTAAATAGTCCCATTTCAAGTGAAAAAAGTGATATTTTTAGCACCATAAAAAGTTGTTATTTACTTTGGTATAAATTGAACAGAGGTGTGAAGGTGTGAAAGGCAACAAAAGACTGTTGTGTTTTAAATGAAAGATGTATGCATTGTATTTATACAGTTGACTGGTTACTAAACAAATAGATATGACATGAATATATGTTGTAAATATTGTTTGTAAAAAGTATGTTAAAACTATAAAGTTGTAAATATGTTATGTTAACTTTAAAGTAAATTATGATTTTATTTCTTTGCTGAATAATATTAGCAATTATTTGTTTGACACTGTATTTATTCAAACTTTGATGAATATAATTATAAAAGTAATGGTACAATGGTACTGATACTTAATTACTTCACCAAAAAAAGTACTGGTACTGCAGTACCGAGCTAAAATCTAGTTCTGGTACTGGTAATGGTACTGCATAATTTGCCAAGTACTGGTACTGGTACTTAAGTACTACACCCTTAGTACTGATGCAGCTCTGGTAGTGAATAAAGTTTATCATTCCTTCCTGATAACATGGTCTATAAGGTCATTGATGTATGATCATGCTGATGTCATTCCTTAATGTTGTGTGCTTCAATACACATATATATTTTATAGTAAATAGTCGCCGCCTTGTCCGTCCATCCATCCGTCTGTCCGACGTCCGTCCATCCATCCGTCCCCTTTTCTTGTCTGGGACATAACTTTGAAACAACAAGAGGTATCAACATGAAACTTTGTAGGTAGATAGATCTCATTGAGTAGGTGCGCAGTGCACGAGAACTTTAACTCTGTCTTGCCTAATTTTTGAATTATTCCCCTTTGTTTATTTTTACACTTTGAACTTTGTCTGGGACATAACTCTAAAAGTATAAGGGGTATCAACATGAAACTTTGAAGGTAGATAGATCTCATTGAGTAGGTGTGCAGTGCACAAGAACCGTAACTCTTTCTTGCCTAATTTTTGAATTATTCCCCTTTGTTTATTTTTACACTTTGAACTTTGTCCAGGACATAACTCTAAAAGTATAAGGGGTATCAACATGAAACTTTGTAGGTAGATAGATCTCATTGAGTAGGTGTGCAGTGCACAAGAACCGTAACTCTTTCTTACCTAATTTTTGAATTATTCCCCTTTGTTTATTTTTACACTTTAAACTTTGTCTAGGACATAACTCTAAAAGTATAAGAGGTATCAACATGAAACTTTGTAGGTAGATAGATCTCATTGAGTAGGTGTGCAGTTCACTAGAACCGTAACTCTGCCTTGCCTAATTTTTGAATTATCCCCCTTTGTTTATTTTACACATTGAACGTTGTCCGGGACATAACTCTAAATGTATAAGAGGTATCAACATGAAACTTTGTAGGTAGAAAGATCTCATTGAGTGGGTGTGCAGTGTGCAAGAACCACAACTCTGCCTTGCCTAATTTTTGAATTATTCCCCTTTGTTTATTTTTACACTTTGGACTTTGTCCAGGACATAACTCTAAAACTATAAGAGGTATCAACATGAAACTTTGTAGGTAGATAGATCTCATTGGGTAGGTGTGCAGTGCACAAGAACCATAACTCTGCCTTGCCTAATTTTTTAATTATTCCCCTTTGTTTATTTTCACACTTTGTGTAAGAGATATCAACATGAAACTTTGTAGATAGATAGGTCTCATTGGGTATAAGTGCAGTGCTTAAGAATCATTACTCTGCCTTGCCTTATTTTGAAGTTTTTGCCCTTTGTTTATTTCTACTTTTTCACTTTTGTCCGGGACATAACTTTTAGAGATATCAACATGAAACTTTGTAGGTAGCTAGATATCATTGGATAGAACTGCAATGCTTAAAGAACCTAAACAAAGCCTGGTCTAATTTTGGAGTTATTGCCCTTTGTTCATTTTTACACTTTGAATTTTACCCGAGACATAACTCTGATATCATCAGGAAACTTTATAGATAGATAGATCTCATTGAATAGAAGTGCAGTGCAAAAAAACATAACTCCGCCTTGCCTAATTTTGGAGTTTTTGCCCTTTGTTCATTTTTTTAGCTCACCTGACCACGAAGGTCAAGTTCGAAGATGGGTTATCTCGGGTCAAAAACTAGGTCACAGGAGTTAAAAATAGAAAAAGCTTGTTAACACTCTAGAGGCTGCAGTTTTCATCCAAATATTCTGGAAATTTGTCAGGAAGGTTGTTTTAATGATATCTAGGTCAAGTTCGAAGATGGGTCATCTCCGGTTAAAAACTAGGTCACAGGAGCTAAAAATAGAAAAAGCTTGTTAACACTCTAACAATTGGGTTGTTAACAGTCTAGCAGTCACAGTTTTGATTGGATCATCATCAAACTTTGTCAGAATGTTTGTCTCAATGAAATACAGATCGAGTTCGAAGATGGGTTATCTCGGGTCAAAAACTAGGTCACAGGAGCTAAAAATAGAAAAAGCTTGTTTACACTCTAGAGGCTGCAGTTTTCATCCAAATATTCTGGAAATTTGTCAGGAAGGTTGTTTTAATGATATCTAGGTCAAGATCGAAGATGAATCATCTCCGGTCAAAAACTAGGTCACAGGAGCTAAAAATAGAAAAAGCTTGTTAACACTCTAGGGGCTGCAGTTTTCATCCAAATATTCTGGAAATTTGTCAGGAAGGTTGCTTAGATTATATCTAGGTCAAGTTCGAAGATGGGTCATCTCCAGTCAAAAACTAGGTCACAGGAGCTAAAAATAGAAAAGCTTCTTAATACATTAAGGGCTGCAGTTTTCATCCAAATATTCTGGGAATTTGTCAGGAAGGTTGTTTGATGATTTCTAGGTCAAGTTCGAAGATGGGTTATCTCCGGTCAAAAACTAGGTCACAGGAGCTAAAAATAGAAAAAGCTTGTTAACACTCTAGTGGCTGCAGTATTGATTTAAATATTCTGGAAATTTGTCAGGAAGGTTGTTTTGATGATTTCTGGGTCAAGTTCGAAGATGGGTCATCTCAGGTCAAAAACTAGGTCACAGGAGCTAAAAATAGAAAAAGCTTGTTAACACTCTAGGGGCTGCAGTTTTCATCCAAATATTTTGGAAATTTGTCAGGAAGGTTGTTTTGATGATTTCTAGATCAAGTTCGAAGATGGGTTATCTCTGGTCAAAAACTAGGTCACAGGAGCTAAAAATAGAAAAAGCTTGTTAACACTCTAATGGTTGCAGTTTTCATCCAAACATTCTGGAAATTTGTCAGAAAGGTTGTTTTGATGATTTCTAGGTCAAGTTCGAAGATGGGTCATCTCAGGTCAAAAACTAGGTCACAGGAGCTAAAAATAGAAAAAGCTTAACACTCTTATGGCTGCAGTTGTCATCTAAATATTCTGGAAATTTGTCAAGAAGGTTCTTTTGATGATATCTAAGTCAAGTTGGAAGATGGGTCATCTCAGGTCAAAAACTAGGTCACAGGAGCTAAAAATAGAAAAGCTTCTTAACACTCTAGGGGCTGCAGTTTTCATCCAAATATTCTGGAAATTTGTCAGGAAGGTTGTTTTGATGATTTCTAGGTCAAGTTCGAAGATGGGTTATCTCAGGTCAAAAACTAGGTCACAGGAGCTAAAAATAGAAAAAGCTTGTTAACACTCTAGTGGCTGCAGTATTGATTCAAATATTCTGGAAATTTGTCAGGAAGGTTGTTTTGATGATTTCTGGGTCAAGTTCGAAGATGGGTCATCTCAGGTCAAAAACTAGGTCACAGGAGCTAAAAATAGAAAAAGCTTGTTTACACTCTAGTGGCTGCAGTTTTGATTCAAATATTCTTGAAATTTGTCAAGAATGTTGTTTTGATGTTTTCTGGGTCAAGTGCTAAGATTGGTCATGTCCGGTCAAAAACTAGGTCACAGGAGCTAAAAATAGAAAAATCTTTTAAACACTCTAGTGGCTGCAGTTTTGATCCAAATTTCCTGGAAATTGGTCAGGAAGGTTGTTTTGATGATTTCTAGGTCAAGTTTGAATATGGGTCGTGTCCGGTCAAAAATTAAGTCACATTGCCCAAATATGGAAAAATCTTTATAACACACTTGAGGTCACATGTTTGACTCAGTTGTCATCAAACTTGGTCATGATGCTTGTTTAAGACATTGCTTGGATGCGGTTGTGTTAGGTGAGCGATCCAGGGCCATCATGGCCCTCTTGTTTATACTTTCCTGTGTCCAGAACCTTCTCGGGAAGCATTAGCAGGTTATGTACAGATTATATAATATATGTTGATATTGTATTTAACCAGATTGCTAAGAAACAGCATGATTTGAAGAAGAAACTGAAGGTGACGTTTGCAGGGGAACCAGGCTTAGATATGGGTGGCCTTACAAAGGAATGGTTCCTACTTCTAATCAAGAAAATATTCAATGAAAACTATGGTAATTTTCAATTTACAAAATAACCTGTGGCTTCCTGAAGGGGAAAATATAGCTCGATAATTTACCCACACATTTTATAAAATATTAATTTCAATTCAATTTAACATGTATGGTACATTGCAGACACTATATAGGGACAACTTTCTGTCTTTCAGTCAATTAACCCATTACTTCATGAGCATTTTGTGAAAAATGGCTGTTTTCATTGAAAAGTCTCCCGTTACAAGTTCAAATTGCTATTATACTATAAAAACTGCTTCAACACTAATCAAACTTGGCACAAATGTTGACTGGACCATTGCCCTTGCAACAGCATGCTCAGGCTTAAATTTTCTGTTACCATGGCAACGAGGGGGCATCTCAAAATTGCCAAAAATCACTATTTTGCGTTGATTTTTTCCATCAAAATTGATTTCAAAGTGCTGCAACTTCTCAATGAATTGAGATAGAGTCAAATGCTTTTCAGCTTTGGTTACACGTTACCTTATGATCAGTCTGGGGTCATTTACAGCCTCTCACAAGTCCAAAATTTTCTTGGCGATGAGGGGGACTCCGCCACCCTTCAAACCCCCCAAACAGAAGGGGGCACATCCCCCTTCTGGCAACCCCCTGATGTATCTTTTGGTTGGGGGGCCGCGCCGAAAAAGAGGTCACTTTTTTTAACAACATTTCTCAAACAAAAACAAGTGTTTTGGGCCTAAATAAGGCATTTTTTCATCATTTGAGACAACAAAAAAGGGGGGGGGTGAAAAAGGCGTTAAAAGGCGTGTATATGAAGTAATGGGTTAAATGTATGAACTAGCTGCTGTTAGGTCATGGTTCTGGTGACAAATATACATAGGACATTTCAGGGGAAAATACGGCATTTTTAGGGGAAAATATACCTATTTGAGGCAAGGGGAACAGCCTTTATTTGGCTGTAAAAAAATCACTGTTATTATTATCTTGTTTGTTTGGTTGGTTGTTTTTGTTTTGTTTTTAGCTCACCTGTCACAAAGTGACAGGGTGAGCTTTTGTGATCGCTTTTTGTCCGGCGTCCGTCCCTCCGTAAACTTTTACTTTAAATGACATCTCCTCATAAACCACTAAGCCAATTTCATCCAAACTTCACAGGAATGTTCCTTTGGTGGTCACCTTTAAAAATTGTTCAAAGAATTAATTTCCATGCAGAACTCTGGTTGCCATGGCAACCGAAAGAAAAAACTTTAAATATATTCTTTTAAAAAACCCAAAGAGCTAGAGCTTAGATATTTGGCATGAAACATCTTCTAGTGAGTGTCTACAATGTTTGTTCAAATAAAAGCCCTGGGGTCAAAATTGGCCCTGCCCCAGGGGGTCATTGATTTTCCCTATATGCATATAGTAAAAACTTAAAAAATCTTCTTTTAAAGAACCAAAAGAGCTAGAGCTAAGATATTTAGCATGGAACATCTTCTAATGAGTGTCTACCAAGTTTGTTGAAATAAAAGCCCTGGTGTCAAAATTGGCCCCGCCCCAGGGGGTCATTGATTTTCCTTATATGCATAGAGTAAAAACTTAAAAAAATCTTCCTTTAAAGAACTCAAAGAGCTAGAGCTAAGATATTTAGCATGTAAAATGTTCTAATGGGTGTCTACCAAGTTTGTTCAAATAAAAACACTGGGGTCAAAATTGGCCCCGCCCCGTAGGTCATTGATTTTCCTTATATGTGTATAGCAAAAACTTTCAAAATCTTCTTTGAAAAAACTAAATAGCTAGAGTTTAGATATTAAGCATGAAACATCTTCTAGTGAGTGTCTACAAAGTTTGTTCAGATAAAAGCCCTGGGGACAAAATTGGCCCTGTTCTGGGGGTCATTGATTTTCCTTATATGTGTATAGCAAAAAACTTTAAAAATCTTCTTTGAAAAAACCCAAAAAGCTAGAGTTTAGATATTAAGCATGAAACATGTTCTAGTAAGTGTCTACAAAGTTTGTTCAAATAAAAGCCCCGGGGTCAAAACTGGCCCCGCCCCAGGGGTGTCATTGTTTTTAACTATATGTGTATAGTAAAAACTTAAAAAATCTTCTTTGAAAAAACCTTAATAGCTAGAGTTTAGATATTAAGCATGAAACATCTTCTAGTGAGTGTCTACAAAGTTTGTTCAGATAAAAGCCCTGGGGTCAAAATTGGCCCTGCCCCGGGGGTCATTGATTTTCCTTATATGTGTATAGCAAAAACTTAAAAATCTTCTTTGAAAAAACCCAAAAAGCTAGAGTTTAGATATTAAGCATGAAACCTGTTCTAGTAAGGGTCTACAAAGTTTGTTCAAATAAAAGCCCCGGGGTCAAAACTGGCCCCGCCCCAGGGGTGTCATTGTTTTTAACTCTATGTGTATAGTAAAAACTTAAAAATCTTCTTTTAAAAAACCCAATGAGCTACAGCTTAGATGTTTAGCATGAAACATCTTCTTATGGGTGTCTACCAAGTTTGTTTTAATAAAAGCCCTTGGGTTAAAATTGGCCCTGCCCGGGGGGGGGGGCAGATCATTGTTTTTCATTATATGTGTGTAGTAAAAACTTAACATCATGAAACATCTTCTTATGGGTGTCTTCCAAGTTTGTTCAAATAAAAGCCCCCAGGGGTTTAAACTGGCCCCGCTCCGGGGGCCTATATACAGGTGAGCGACCTTGTTTTTTTTACTTTTGTAATTGTTTTGTTTGAATATTTTCTTATGTTTACTGATACTTAATAATAAAGCTATTATCATTGACCCTTCCAACTGTTTGAAATAATAAAAAGAAAATATATGGATTTTCTGCGTAACTAAATGTAAAGCTGTTTTGATCATTTTTGTTGTGGGCTTTTGTAAATATATTGATTGAAAAATAAAAATGATATTTAATTCTTGTGTGATTTAAACAAAAATTGTTTACATTATTTTCATATATCCGGCGTTCACTTTACTGTTGCAACACAGCACTTAACACTAGCTGTTTTGAGGATAATGCATTCCCTGTTCTCCCAGACTGAGCAATAATCTATTATTTTTCTAAGCCTGAACTTAATAAAATGATTATTGAACAATTTAGTGGTGTATAACCTATAAAATGATTTTTTGTTACAGGTATGTTTTCTTACAATAAGGCTGCAGGATGCTATTGGTTTTCAACAATGCATCGTGAGGATTATCAGGAGTTTAATCTAGTCGGTGTTGTATCCTTTATATATATATCATATAGTACATTTTCTTCTCAGTTTTCCCGAGAGATCACATGATAATGCTCGGATAACATGATCTATAAACTCATTGAGCTGTAACAATGCAGTTGTCATTCCATTATTCACTTAATGTTGTGTGCTTCAGTACACTTATAAATTTTATATAACACTTTTCAATGAAATTCTTTGTTCTCGAAAGTAATCTTATATAATCATTTTGTAACGATATTGTATACCAGTCTGTGGGCGTTTGATTTATTAGTTATATGAAATGAATATGCTACTATGTATGAATGGTATCAATTTTAGAAATGGAAATTGTTATGAAAGCTAATCTCTAACAAATAAATCTATGTTCCATTAATGTCAAACCCCTCGCTGGGACATAAACATGTCTGCACATCAAAGTCTATTGAGTAATTGATACAGATTGATTGTTTTATGTAAAATTAATATAAAAAAAAATGTTTTTACATGATTTAATGTTTAAAAGTTAATGATGATTTGGAAAAAAAAATTAAATTCATATCTATCTTTTTCTGTAGCAAAGGATTATTCTTTAGTTCTATAGAAGATAGAATTGATAAATTGATTCTTTACATATATAAGTGTTAGGTGTCATAATACCGTGGTAAAGAACAAACTTGTTATTAAACAATTAAACGGGCCATACATCAGAGATAGAATGAATTTAATCAAAAGCACATTATTCCCTTAACCATGGACCAGTTAATGGGTTTAGCGGTGTATAACAGTATTAATTTGGATCTACGATTTCCACCATGTTGCTACAAGAAGTTACTGAGTCCCCCAGTAGTCCCCTTCAATAATCCACGGGCACAAGTCGGTGTTTTGACTAGTCTAACTGTAGATGATCTCAAAACAGTACAACCAGTAAGTACTAATATTTATTGTATAAGTCATTTTACATCAAGGTACCTCTGTAACGGAGTAGTTAAGGATTATTAATTCAAGTCATTAATTGGTTTGAATCCTTGTAGGGAAGCTGATATTGAACTTGTCAGTTTGTTTGTTTGATTTGGTTTTACGGTGCACCAACACAATTTAGGACATATGGTGCCGAAACAGACAAAGATAATTTTGGCTAACCTTGGGTGTTACATACTAAAAGCAGCACCAGGGTCAAGACCACCTCACCTGCTGGAAATTAGAGATTCATAGACTCCAGTAGTTTAGTCCCATTTATTCCCCTCTTACCACCACATAGGAATAAATGATGGCTGCAGTTCTGATACCTAGAGCCTAAAGGCAACCCCTCAGCCACAAGGCTGGATGCTAATTATTGCTTTTATATAGGATATCAGTGATAACAAAGTAAATGAAGTCACACGGGGGTATCAGCTTTCACTAACCAAAATATGAACTTTTATCAAATGACCTCAAGGTTGTTGTGATTTGTATGATTGAACAAAAATATACATCTTCACTCTTACATATTTCAACTGTAACACCAACAGAACTGTTCACAAGAGTTAAAATGAAAATATTTTTTTTTTTAGAACTAAGAGGAGAAACATTTACAATTTGTAAATCAAACAGACATATTGTGATTAAAGACACTTAGTATAAAAGGACATATACATGTATGTTTATGTAATTATGAATAAATTTTATTGCTATATCAATATACAAAGCTTAAATTTGATTTTGGAGATATCTGGACTAAGTGAGGATAGCAAAGGGTGGAGATATAAGGAAGTAAAGAAGGGTAGATGGAGGTTGAGGGGGTAAATGTGGGGCTGACAGAGGGTACTTGTAAGCTGACAAAGGAGAAATGGGGGGGGGGATGGGATGCTAGTGGATTGAGACTGTCAGAGAAATGCAAGGTAAAGGAGGGTGGATTGGGGCTGAGAGAATAGCAGTGTTAGCTAAAGCATTTCTATGATATTTTGAATTATTCAGTCTACTATAATTCTATAGACATTAAAGCTTTAATCTTAATTATAAATTTGTTTCATGTTTCAGGATGTAGCTAAAGGATTACAAGATTTGTTAGATTACAAAGGAGATGTAGAAGAAGATTTCTGTATGAGCTTTCAGGTAAAACTTTTCTTAAAGGCACATTATGCCTTAGGAAAAAATAGATTTTTAATTCTTTAAAACAGGAAAATATGAACTTTATCAATGTTTAAATAATTGTTTTAGAACATGTTAGATGCATATTACCTGAAGAAAGTAGCGTTAAATGTGAAACAATTTGTACAAAATGTAGCAAAATGTTAACAAAATACCGCTAATATTTTGACTTCTGTAAAAAATACTAAATCACTAAAACTGTATTTATTGCAGAAACGGATGGTTTAGGTAATTGGCCAACAAATAGCTCTTTGGAAACAATTTTACCCATAACAAAAGCTTTTGAGAAGAATAAAATAGAAGCATTTCTTTAGTATAATTGGACTTTAATTTTACATTGCTAATAGCAATGATTTTGGACATGTAATGTAACCCAGTATAAAAGTTTATATGTTTATATAACCCAAACTGCCCGACAAATCGTTATATTCATAAATATAGCCACAATACTTAAGATTTGTTATGCAGACCTTACAGGTTATATGACCTATTATAATAGGTAGTAAGTTTATATAACCCAAACTGTTAGAAAATGGTTATATTCATACATTCAGCCATTGTATTTAAGATTAGTTATAAGACCTAACAGGTTATATAACCTATTATAAATTTATAATAGGTAGTAAGTTTATTTAACCCCAGCTACTAGAAAATGGTTATATTCATACATACAGCCATTGTATTTAAGATTAGTCATAAAGATCTAACAGGTTATATGACCTATTTTGATAAGTTGTAAGCTTTTATAACCTGGCAAATATGCATGGGTTTTATAGCAAACAAAATATTTAAACATTTTCTTATAGTCGTTGAGTCATTGATGTGAATAGTCGTAGATATATGTATTATCAATTTGTTTTTATCTTTGTTTTGATTTAATTGACAGATGTCTCAGGATCATTATGGTCATACAAAGACATATGATTTGAAGCCTGATGGTGCTAATATACCTGTTACAAGTGAAAATAGAAAAGGTAGGTAATTATAATGGTTATATCTATACAGCTAGATTTATAGAGCTTTTGTTGATTTATAGAGCTTTTGTTAAAGCAGCATGTCCGCAGAATAAAAGTTTCTTTTATTAAAATTTAGAAAACTTTTTAAGTAGTAAAGAGATTGTAAAGTGTAGAAATAAAGTGACTTAAACTAAACTTATTCGTATAAAGTGAACAAAATTGCCTATAACTTGTTAGCATATGCAAAAAAGTCTGTCAAAAAAGGGTGGTATCTTGTATAAACATTAAACCATCAAATTAAGAAAAATATATCCCTAACATTGATTTTATTGCTAAATAAAATCACTGTTTTGAGTTTGAATGCCAGGAATTATATCATGAGGGCATAGCCGAAGTGATATAATGATGTGCATTCAAATGACATGTTCAATAGGGAAAAATCTGGTTTCTGTTGGAATGCATTATAAATGCTTATGCATTTCTTACATGTATTTCCTTTAGCTAATGACTTAGGTAAGAAAAGCAAAATTTAAAACTTCAGCTAAAATTTCGCTTTATCAGCTTGTTTAAACAAGTTTAACTACATGTACAATGTTTATTTGGCTTTTTATATGTTAATTTAAATGTAATTGATTTATTTTACAGAATATGTAGATCTGTATGTAGATTGGGTATTAAACAAGTCAGTGTATAACCAGTTTAAAGCATTTTACCATGGTTTCCATATGGTGTGTGCATCAAATGCTCTAATTGTAAGTACAATGTTTACTGTAATATAGACTGTATTTACTCTAGGTTGAAAACTTTCTGATGTCCAAGATATTTGGGAAACTGCCAGAGTTTATCACCTAGTTCAAGTAGATGATAATTTTAATTAATAAATATACATTATAAATTCAACAAATTTGCTTGTTAATATCAATATCCACATTTGTATTTGTTGAAATAGGGTATCTGACAATATTACTGCACCAGTAGGGGACTGCTGTATTGTCTGTGACAAGGTCTTGTTGCCACTTGTTAAAACAGCTGTATGTTATATCTGTAGATGTTACGACCAGAGGAAATAGAGATGCTGGTATGTGGAAATCCAAGATTACATATGAAAGATCTGAAGAAAGTCACTGTCTATGATGGTTACCATCCTTTAGACCCCACTATCAAGTAATATATTTGTTAATATTTAATTACATGTGAATAGAGAAAATACAGAAACATCAACATATGTTAGTGCATTTATATTGTAATTGTCAAGTTAGCCATTAATAAGAAATCTCAAGAAAAATGTTCTCATTTTTGTTCATTTGATCATACATGTCAATTTTTTAAAAGAAAATTTTAAAAAAACACTCATGTATTTTTTGATAGAAAAAATTATGTATTAAGTATTTCAACATGTACTATTTATGGCAGAAGAAAAATCTCAATATGCATTTGCTTGGAAGGGGTGTTCATAGCTGAGTGGTTACGGTCATTTGATGCCACTTGCCCCTCTGCTGTAGGTTCCAATCCGGAACAGGACTTCAGATTTTTTCATTTGAAGAAGTTATTCAGCAAGCTTACGGAAGGTTGGTGGTTCTACTCGGGTGCCTGTGTCTGAAATGTTGCACAGAGGGGCACTGGAGTTCTACTTCTACCAGTATAGCTGGAAAATTGCCATATGACCTGTACAGTGTTGATGCGACGTAAAACCCAAACAAAGCAACAATAAAAATGTATCTGCTTGGACCTTTTACTTATAGTTCTGTGTATTCAAAATTAGACAATAAACTTATTTTATTTTAATAGGTACTTTTGGGACATTGTTTTGAGCTTGCCAATCCAGCTTCAGAAGTTATTTCTATTGTTTACTACGGGAAGTGATCGTATCCCTATTGGTGGAATGGCTGAGATGAACTTTAAAATCACCCGCACTGAAGATATCAGTTTGTAAGAAATGTTTGTTATTATATTAAAAAAAATATATATTAAAAAAATAGATAATGATAACACATTTTATTGTAAGAAATTTTTACACTTTTAGCTCAAATATTCAAGGAATAGGGCTATTGTACTCACCCTTGTGTTAGCATCACACTTTGGTTAAGCTTTAGCATGCAAGTTAGTATCTCCAAAACTACTGAAAAGAATGGGTGGAACTTTCAGACACTTATCTGAGAGCCTTATTAGAGGTCATTGTTCAAGACTTATAACTCTAATATGTATCAGAATTATGACCCTTTTTTAATCTTAGAAAATTCAACATTATCCAGGCTCTTGTTTTTCTATCAAGCACTAAGAATAGACCTTGTCCTATTGACAGCTCTTGTTTATTATAAAACTTAAATTATTTATGTATTTGCACTAAAATTAAACCTGAATATTCCCATTTGATTTTGTTCTTCTGCTTCAAATCACTGACTTGGCTTCAGATTTCTGGTGGAATATTGAAATTATCCAAGAATCCATAAGCTACAAAAACAACATGGTGTCAATAGAAGGAATGGAATATGAGCCGCGTCACAACAAAACCAACATAATGGGTTTGCGACCAGCATGGATCCAGACCAGCCTGCGCAGTCTGATCAGGATCCATGCTGTTCGCTTACCAACCCTATTACAAGTAGACAAACTGATAGCGAACAGCATGGATCCTGATCAGACTGCGCAGATGCGCAGGCTGGTCTGGATCCATGCTGGTGGCAAACCGATATGTTGGTTTTGTCGTGACGCGGCTCATATGATTTTGTGTTTTGTTAAGAATTTTAATGCTTTCAATGTGTCAATTATTTTGTAACCTTAATGAAGTAACTGGTTAACTCTTATTAGATTATAATAGGAGTTAACCAGTTTCTGCACTAAGATGACAATGTAAAAACTATGTAACAGTTATTTAATTTCTCCTTTAAGGAAGCCATATGATATACTTAAATACTTTTTTATGTTGTAGGCTACCAATGGCGCACACTTGTTTCAACCAACTTGTTTTGCCTGCATACAAGAGCAAGAAACACCTGAGAAATAAACTTATTCTCGCCATACAAAATGCAGAGGGTTTTGGATTGGAGTAACTGAATAAGACACTGTTACCAATGCTGTCTTTCTTCAAATTATCTTTAGTGAAAAGTAAATAGAGTGAATCATTTTCAACTGTATCTTTCTTCAGTTAGTAACTCTCCATCTCATTTTATAACGTTTTAGAAGCCAGGAGCTCATATGTGTTTAGTGAGAAATACAATATCAACAAGGATGCATGTAATATTGAATGGACAGATTTGGAGGAGCCTCTTTTCAGGCTTAAGATCCAGTACAGTACAGTACAATATTATCACTGTTGGGAGACAAAGATTTTGGTTGTTACTTAGAAATGTTGCTGTGTAGTCTAACTTTGGGGGGAAAATGTTGTATTGTTTTAATGAGGTTATTGCTCTATTGAGGTTTCACCATATATTCATCATATCACAACAAAGTTGATATAGAGGTGTTACTTTTAACATATGTAACTATGACTCACACAATATACACATCAAAGTTATACATAAAATGTTGTACAATATCACATGCTTCACTTCATTATTATGTAGGACCAGTCTAAAATGGAAACATCTGATTGCCTGAATTAGAATTGAAGTTTTTGAATTAACCAATGACAAAGGTGGATTTTGCAGACTGGTTTTAAGATTCATAATTTTCTTTTCAAATAATGATACTTTTCATGTGAAATGGCTGTATTGGATGTATCTATTTATAAAATGCATTTATAACATAATCAGGTCATATTAGAAGCAGATCATTATGTATATATACAAAAATAGATACTGCTAAATATGAACACAAATTTTTGGCATTTATTTTTTTACAACTCTTGTTTTCGTTAATGATTATGTATTTATGTGTGAATATTTTGAATCCAACACTTAATTTTTGGTGTAAAGAATTTGGATGTTAATTATAAAAGTATCACATTATAAAGTACACAGTTCTTTTTAACTTATCAGCTCCTTTGAATACCTAGTATATAACAGAGAATACAAATTGTTTATTTTCATCATATATTAAAAATATTATAGGATAAGATACTTTCTTCAATTGATTTAAGTCATTTTTGTTTTTCTGTATTAACTCATTTGAAATTCTCTTTATGGATTATATCTATGTGAATGATAGAGAGATTTAGGCCTTAGATTTTATGCATCCATATACGAGGGATGATCAAAAATAAACCGGACTGTGACTGGCAATTGAAGAATTTTCATCCTATCACTTATTGTTATATATCACACTTAATTGGAAAACAATACCTGTAAACTGATACTATATCTAATCTGATAACGCAAATAGCTTGTCCGTAACAGCGAATTCAAAAACCATGGTAACGCACACCAGGCGCAGTGCATAAATTAGCCTTGACATGAGGCGCTTTATGCTGCGTGTATTTTACAATATGGCACATTTAGATTTCAAAATACGCCAAAACGTCATGTACCATATCTTTGACGTTGTCAGTAAAAATGACTTCATTTAAACCATATTTATATTTACAATCACAATTCAAACGTCACATGTTAATGAAATACTCACGTTAAAACTATGTTGTCGGAATATTTCGAAAATCGATCAATAGGAAAAAATTGTCAAATGTAAGACGAGAAACTGTTTAAAACGTAGAAAAAGATTATGGCTATCAAGGGAAAAGTTCCAGAAAGCCACAGCATATTTTTTGATTAGCTTAAAAGATTAAAAAAGGATAATAGAGAAATAGAAACAAGTAAGGGAGAGACAGAAAAAAGATATTTTCAAGGACGTTGGTGACGTCAATCGCCAAGACGTTGAAAAATGACAGTCGATTGACTGCGGACATTGTCAACGATGTTCGACAGTTACTACGGGACGGTGCAGTCAACTCTGAGGATCTTAAAATGATAATAGTTAATGCATTAATTACATGTATTGTATTCTTGGTTTACAATTGTATCAATTATTTTCTTATTTTACGCAGTAGTCTTATGGAGAAATTGTCAATTTAACAGCCATTGTTCAAATTGGCTATGCGTTTTATTTATTTTAAAATAATGACAATTTTGATCATAGTTGTATTATTCAGTTATTTTTTCGTATGTATGATACATTATCATTCAGCAACATTATTTTACATTATTTGTAATACATAATATAGTTAATTACATGTGCGATTTTTTCAACAATCAAGTTACAGAAGGAAATAACGGAAGTTTGCGTCATTACAGGAGCTCTTTATCATCATTCATTCTATTACAATACAATATGATACCCACTTGTACAGAAATATATATAGGCAGTGGATCTGCTGCATCAATAACATGACTGTACCACATATTGGCCTACTCCGTGAATGAGTAAAAATCTGCTCCGTTAAGGACAATACGCTTGTGACATTGTTAACGTCAATTTTAAAGTTATACCGTGCGCCACATTGCTTTACATGTGCATGCCAATAACAGCATAACTTTTTTCTTTGTTTATATTTCTTGTTGGTATTTTTTGTATCATTTAGGGGATAGATTCCGATTTATTTTCCATGTATTGTTATGTAAATTCATTTAACAGGTTAAGAATCATTTACAAAGTCCGGTTAATTTTTGATCATCCCTCGTACTATTATAAAGTTTAAGAACTTTAACTGCTGCTTTTCAAACAGATGTTTTGAAATAATCATTCATTAATTCACAAAGTAATGTAGGTATCTTTCTGAGGTTTGTTGCCATCTGTATTATATTAGCAGCCATATGTATTATATCAGGAAACTCGATGTTATATCCGTCCAAATAAGTCATTCATGATATTTTATAGGTAGTTGCAGAGTATTTTTATTTATATTGGTGCATGATATTTGTTAGATATTGTTTTGTAATATTTTTTCTTGGTGATGTATTTTTTTTTTGTTCCTGATCTATTTTGATTCTCAAGTGCCTGTAATTATACACTGATAAGTAACAGACGTTTTTTAAAACTTGATATGTGACAATAACAGTTTCAGTTTAATTTTATTTTTTAATCTTATACAATATAGTTCACATAAAAATCTGTCATACAAAAGGGGGTCTGTCAGCGCAGGTTAATTACTGATTTCATACAAAGTGTGATTTGAGCACAGGTGTTTGCTAATATGCATGTATGGTACAAGTTATTCTTAGACAAAAAAGTCTATTTGAAATCTGAAAGTTTATTTTTTGGTTGTATGATTTCACATATGAGGAAAACTTTCATCAATTCAAAATGGTTGGTGTCCATGGCTGAGTGCATAAGGGCCTCGACTTTAAACCCCTTGCCCTTCACCGCTTTTGGTTCAAATTCCAGCAGTGACCTTGGATTATTTCATGTGAGAAAACTAACCAGCGAGTTTATGAAACATCAGTGATTCTACTCAGGTGCCCATTCACACCTGAAATAATGCAAGGAAAGACACTGGAGGTCTTCCTCCACTAGTAAAGCTGGGAGTCACCATATGACCTATACTGTGTTGGTGCGACGTAAAACCCAACAGACAAACAAAATTGGTTTCCTATGCACGCATAACCATATATTCCTGTTATTGCTATAAGCACTTGTTTGAGAATCTCAAGATGCATTTTGGGATTGATTGAGGATCTTTTTTCGAGTCGTTGTCTGTGTAAATGTTTAATGCATATATATTTGAAATTATGAGTATTATTTTCTGTACGTATATTAACATTGTATAATGCATAGTTTATCTGTATATAAACCATGTCACAAGGGATTAAATGCTCAGATATTTATCAGAATACCAGGCCTCAAGGTTATAAAACAGTTTACTAAGCTCTTTCTCAAATCTGAGGATTTTCATTGGTCAGTGTACATAATGTGACAATTTCTGACCAATCAAATGCCTGAGATCTGAGCTGTGAGAAATTCTTTATACCCTCAGACTGGTCATATGATATTTATCAAAACAACTGGGTCCAAGATTATCAGAAATTTTTCTGAACTCAAATATCAGGTATTCGATTGGTCAAAAACTGGCACAAAATGTACATTGACCAATAAAAAATTAATGAGCTTAGAGATGAAGCTCAGAAAAAAAGTTTTATTACTTGAGCTCAGAAAAAAGTGTTATAACTTTAAGGCCTGGTTTTATTTTACATACTTGAAAAAAAGGGTATTTAAATGCATAGTTACCTACTTAAAGGCATTAATTATTTAGTAAAAATAGACTTAATAGAAAAGCTATATGCAATATTAGGTTTGTAATGACAGTTCTTATTCAGTTGTAAAAGCTACATTTATATAGAGATTATGTATCTGCTTTATCAACAGTTTTTAATTTATTTTTTGTTTTTTGTTCCGAAGCTGGCCTTCAAATTTTATGTTTATATTCTATCAATCATCTTACATAAATATTTATGTTTTGTTGTTATTTTGAATTTATTTTCAGTTTAATTTTTCTTCTAATTCACTTAATATTCAAGTTTGCTGTGTAAAAGTAGTTGTGACATACTTATTTTTGCTAAACACTCAAGTCTTTTGATAACACATGTTAAAACTTGCCTATGCCATAAGCAATCAATATATTGCTAGCCACTAGAGCCAAGTTTTCAATATATGGTCAGGCCAACAGTGTAGGGTCAGTCCTTCAGTTTATGGACACACCACTGTATACTGCCAGGTTTTCAGTATATCCTATAGTATAGGGCTAGGTCACCAGTTTAGAGCCCATCTTTCAGTACATGGCCATGCCAACAGTATAGGACCATTCCTTAGTACATTTTTGTATAGCGTCATGCTTTCAGTATATGGCCAAGCTAGCACTCACTAGTAGTATTTTCATACCGAAATAATTGGAAAGAGGGATATTTCTAAATTTTAAGCAGGATTGGCTTATTACACAAGTACACGAGATATACATGTAGTTAGGTTATAAAGTTGTATAATTGTGTTTTATTGCTGTCATTTTTCAAGAGCTTGTTGTCAAATGGTTGAAATAACTTACATGAAACATGCAAACCAAGTAATATACACGTACATGGTCATCTTGAATTGAAACAAAGTACTTAAGAACCTAATTTCACAATCAGCTTTTGTTGTCCTTTTCATTTGCTTTTTTCCCCTAAACTATTCTTATTTTTTAATTATTGTTTTTAAATTTTCTCTCTAATAAGTTTAAATCTCAGTGACGTGTTTCTTTATATTAAATTACATGTAATATTTCTTTATCATTTATGAAAATGAATCTTTAATGGCAACAGGTAATTTACATTGTTTGGTGCCATTACCTACATTGTTATTTAGATTATTTAGACACTGTTAAACTTGATCACATTTTATGACATTGGGCTGTGTTCGAATGCTTAAATTTCAAGTGTACAGTACATGCTATGTAATGAATTAATTATTTTTATGAAATGTTCTGAAAATGTAAGTATTGTGATGAAAACATGTGATGTAATTGTTACAGGGTGAGAAAAAATGTGCAGCAGGACAGGGGCTAAAAACCCAGTAGGATTCTTAATACTGTACTGTGGCTATACCCACTGAACCTTTTAGCTGCTTAGACTTTTTATGTCCTACAAAAAGAATCAAGTTTTATACCATGACATAATGAAAATATATGAGCCGTGTCACGACAAAACCAACATAGTGGGTTTGCGACCAGCATGGATCCAGACCAGCCTGCGCATCCGTGCAGTCTGATCAGGATCCATGCTGTTTGCTATCAGTTTCTCTACTTGCTATAGGGTTTGTAAGCGAACAGCATGGATCCTGATCAGACTGGGCGGATGCACAGGCTGGTCTGGATCCATGCTGGTCGCAAACCCATTATGTTGGTTTTGTCGTGACACGGCTCATATGTAATTCAATTTAGTGGAAATGAAACAAAGGTAACACTGAAATAGAAAAATAAGTTATATAATGGAAATATAGAACATGTTATTAATGGAAATGACCAATTCCAAGTCTATTACATCAATTTCAGGATTGTTGGCTTTTATTTTTATGAAGGAATAAAATATTTAGGCACATTTTTATATTGGGACATTTAGGTTTCTAATTGACATCGCCCAGTCAGTGTTTTTATCAATATACATGTTACATCTGTTCTGTTCTAAATTTTATATTGTTGTTTTTAATGTCAAAATAAACTAGGGATGAGAGGATTTCAGTTTGTAAAGATTGTTATTTACAACCTTGAAACAAATTTGAAACTTCAATCAAATAAACCATGTAATATATGGAAAATTCATTATTTTTCTTTTTTGGAAAAAAAAATAAATATTTTTTTAATGTTGTGTAATTGAAATGTATATTTGTAAGATCTATTCACTCTGTTGCATTTTAGCAGTTTTACTTAAATTAACAAATTAATGCTTGAATTTCAGTATGTTTTTAACATTTTTATAATCAAAGATGTTATTTGAATTTTACAAAAGGAGACTTGTGGAATAGTAATTAATTTATAACCTGCTGGCATTTGTGCCATCTAATCATAATCTGAACTATACTTCAGTACATATTTAAAATTTCCCTAAAACTCGTCACTGGTTTTATCAAGATAACAAGAAAGGCAAGTCAATTTAAGATATTTAGGGATGTACTCTTCACCAAGGAATCATAGGAGTTCAAGCCGTACTGATGCATTAATCATGTTTCCTGATATTTTGATACCAGTACTGAGCAGACTTAACATTTTTAGTAATTAATACAAGTTGCAAAAAACTTGCATCACAATAGAGATGTATACAATTGTTTAAAAGCAGATATATGTGCATGTCTGGCCACATGAATATAAATTAATAATATTATAATAATAATTGTTATATAAACTGTGATAACTTTATGTTTAAATTGTTCACATCTTTGTGTAGAGAAGTATTTATTATTGTAACACATTACCAAATAACTCACTATTACATTTTCATGTCTATTCTGATTACTGTGATCATTTCTCTATCATCTATTTATAAGTTATTTTAGTCAAACAACCTTAAGGGCACATTATGCCTCAGAAATCAATATTTATTAAACATTTTTAGAAATGTTAAACAAGTCAAACTAAAAAGGTAGCTGTGAATACACAGCAATGTGTCATTAAGGTAGCAGAATGTTAACATACTAGTATTTTGAATTCCATACAAAAAACTTATTAGTATTTCACTGCCTTTATACCAATTGCAAACAGAGCTAAGAGTGTCATCTTTATTGCAAATGAGATATTTTTTGTGGTAGCATAAGATTTTGGGAAATGAAAATGATAGCATTTCTGAGGCACAATGGGTCTTTAAGTGTATTTCAAAATCCAAGCATAGGGAACTGTTTACGTTCCAAAACAGATGCCAGAAAATTAAACGGAAACATCTGAAACAACTATTTGTTCTTCATCAACATAGTATGGTGACAGGACTGTGTATGGTTCCATAAAAAGATATTTTCATATAGAATTTTATTAGAAATACTAGTAAAGTGTATAAATCCTTGAGTTACCAAGTTACTAACAATGAAGATTTGATTTTTTTCAGTAAACATGTATATGGAATGATATATTTTCCAAATCCATTTGTTAAACACTTGTTTTCAGACATCTGAAGTTGGCTTTAAATTATTTAAAATCTGTCATTTCAAATGTAAATTAAGAAGAAAGAAATAGCCAAAGTTTAAAGCAATTTTTGAACTGAAATAAACATAAACTAACATTTTATTGATTAAACCAAATACTCTTAGTATATTATTATCCACACATTCCAAAGTACAACAAGTCTGTATTTATATAATAAAGACTACAAGACTGGTTTCAAATGTTGGACATTTATTTTTCTTTCTCTAGATATATACATCTACTAGTCTTATTTATCTAAAATAACATTCCTTGTACTATCTTTGTGTTCAAAAAACTTTGTGAAAATAAATAAAAAGACATGAATAATACATTGTGTATATTTTTGTTTTGATTTGATTCCAGAAAAGTAACTGTACAGGCTTTTTACCCTTTTATAGCATGAAAGGGTGTTGAGCAATTCAGGTCAAACTCAACCCGTATACCCCCTAACATCTTCCTTGTGCAGGGTGTATAAAACAAGAGGGCCATGATGGCCCTAGATCGCTCACCTGACTTATTGTGTGTGTGTGTGTTTGGGTTTGTTTACCCTCGCCACCGGAAAGAGACCATATGGGCGAGCATATACTTCATTTATAACCTTTTAAAAAGGGGGAGCTGATGTTTAATTACTTATTGTTATATCCGTACATGTGTTTATGTGCATACCATATCCCCCATGACAGGGTAGTCTCTACGTACAACCTCTGCCATGGGAGGAAGATGGGGCAATCCCATACTAAGATTAAGAATTCTAAAAATTAAATTATTAAAAAAGCACTTATTTTAAAATTGGCCAAGACGTTTATAGTAGTTACCGTCTTTTATAACAGGTCTATCTAATGTTTGGTATAACTAAAAAAATTTTAAAATATTACCTGTAATTGTAGAGTTCGCATACTTGCGAAGAAGGCATGTCAGGAACGTTTTCTGACCAATTCAATGTGGGCTGTCTATTATATATGTTGGTTTTCTATTTACATGTTATAAACCGTATACATTGGGATGCATATAATTAATTACATGTTTGTAATTAGCAAGTTTGTTTTAAAATTTTGTAAATTTTTGTAAGTTCT